TCTTTTTTTTTTTGTGAATTGTGGGAGCGCACCTTTCACTTTACCAACACCAACACCGGGCGGCGAATGATGCAGCCTGGGCATAAAAATTGAAAAGAAATAAAAGACTCTGCGGCTAAAAAATGCTGTGCACAACCGCCACACAAAGAAAACGATACATACATAATGATCTGCACACGCACACTGCTGCAATTTCAGTTTCAGTCTTTTTTTTTGTTTTTTTTCTTTTTGTTTCTTTTTAAATGTGAAAGGTTTTCGCTTGCTGCAACATTATTTAATCAATCCAAAATTGTGGAGCAAGCAAAAAAAGCTTAAAAATCGACAAAAATGTATAGACAAAAAAAAATCAAAGCCAAAAGCAGGAGATAAAGAGGTAGAAAGAAAGAAGAAAGAGGAAAGAAAAAAACTATAACCAGTTTAATTATTTTATGAAATTGTATGTTTGTGTAGCTCTTTTTCACCCTTTCCTGGTTATATTTTTTTTGGGGAGATAAAGAGAGAGAGAGACCCAAAGACTGGAAATTTGAATAAAATTGTATAATGGGCAATCCGGGGGACCCGGCAACACCAACACCAACACACACACAACACACTCGTCCGAACATGTGTATGTTAATTTTGTGCCGTAAGATAAAGAAAAACCCCTCCGGCGGCTTTTTTTATTATTTCACCTTTATCGTTTTCAAAGTAGCTTGCTTGATTGGGTCCCAAAAGTGACGTGCGACACCTGGCCGGAGGAGCTAAACTGAAGAATTGAAGAACTGGAGAACTGAAGAGCCAGAAGAACCGTTCTCAGAGAACGATTCTTTGGCTCTGCACGTGACAGCCGCACAGCGCAACAGGTTTTCGTGAATTGCCAGTTGAAAACGGGGTCAAGCGATTGCATTTCACAGGCTCACAAGCTCAGTCCCAGTCTCCCGTCTCCCGATCGCCTGTTAAGCAATCGATTGCCATCAAGTTGGAGTTAAGCCGCTCAAGCGGTTTTTGTGGCTCAAGAGCCAGCCAGGCAGGCAGGCCACTCCAAACTCCACTGCTTTCCACTTGAGAAGGCGCCCTTAGCCATTTCCCCCGGTAAGCCGCTCTACGCTTTCATTGGAACACAACCACACAGACACAAATCGGAGAAGTGGCAAGGCTGGAGAGGCAAAGCCCACCTGAAAAACGTGCAACAAATGATGCTCCCAGGTACACGGTGAAAAAACATGATTAGAGCTTGCCATTCATAACTGTTACCAACTTGGAACTCTGCCAAAAGATGGGTATATATCCCAAGGAACTTTTATATATAGAAGAAAGTATTAATTATGTGTTTTCGGCACTTATAGATACTTGAAGTTGTAGCTTAGATACATTTTATTCACAGTATAGATAGATTTAAATATATTTGCAAGATACTTTGCCGTATAAATACTTCTATCTTTTATTTTATTTAACTTGAAAACCTAGACCCACCCTATAAGCCCTTATTATACACCTAAATCGGGCCTATAATATTCCATTTTTGGCAGTTAGATTTAGAACTGGCATTCTTGGCTTTTCCCCAGGTGTATAATTGCGGCAGCACGCTGTCCCCACCTGATCCCCAGCCGCTAACAACAAAAGAGGTAGCAAATGCCTGCGAGCATTTTTCGCTGTCTTTTTTTTTTGGCTTTCTTCTTTCTTTCTTTCATCATCTTCATCATCATCATCATCATCATCATCATCATCATCGTAATCATCATCGGCAGCAACATGCCAAGCAGCATACATATTTGTATACAGCTCGATGAGTGTATATTCGTACGACTCTGGGCTGTGTAGCTGTATCTGTATATCTGTATCTGTGTTGTGTTGCCCGTTTTGGTAGCATTTTTCAAGAATTGCTAATTCTCAACAATTCCCCGAGGTTCGTTGAACTCATCATAAACACACACACAACATACACACACCGACACCGACACACACATTTTATTTACGCTTCTCAGTGCGCGTATACTGCTTGCTGATTCTTGGCCCGATGTGTACCGGTGACGGCTAAAATGCGGAAAAAGCACTTGTGTATTTGTGTGTTTTAATGCACTGCCCAAAAAGGAAATACAAAGAAAAAAAAAATAAATAAATACGTTAAATAAAAATGCGAGGGCAGGCCCACCAGTATTAGCATAATGAGCAGCAGCTCTCCTCAATTCTTTTGGCATTCCATACACTTTCGTTGGCTTTGAGAATTTCTGAATTATAGTGTAGTCATCGAAAGGCAGTAGTCGCCTTTTGGAAGGTGAAATTGCTACTTTCTTTAGCATATTGCCAATGTTTTTGGTAATTACAAAAAGCTTTTATGACTTTACTAGGCGATTTAGGAAATGATTTTGTTAATGTTTTAATGTTATGACTACTGCCTGGGGTTTGAGGTTTACTTTAATCATTAAAACCGAATAACTTTCTTATTTTGTTGCCATTTATTATGGCATTACATGAGTAATAAAGTTTAAATACTAATTTAAACTATAATTCTCTTTGCAAATATTTAAAGATTATTTCACAAAGCCTTGTTTATCCCAGATCTACTTACAAGGGGCTCACCTTATAACTGAATCACTACATACTTCATTGGTTAATCAGCGCTTGTGGGATTGGCAAATATATTTAATAGGCTGGCTGACTCCACTGACACACTTTTCTACTTCCAATTGAATCATTTTCATTTTGCCAAAGCAAACAATAAAGCTTATAAGTCTGTGATCTTGCTAATAAAATGAATTTTGCCAGTTTTATTATTCAAAATGTTAATTTAACGAACCCATTGTTCATTTAACTCTGGAAATTAGTTTAACGCATGAAAATTTATTCATAAATATGTTTTGAATTGGATCAAGGTATATTTAAAATGAAGAATTGGGATTATAATCTGAAAAAATATGAGCTAGTATCTCAATATATATTAACTATTATTTCTGAAATAGTTTAAATACGAGTTTGCTTAATATTTCTAGTAAAAGTAAATTTTAAACCAGTTAAAAATCTGTCCGTTAACTTTGGTTAATATTTAGAAACTTAAAAGAATAAACTGTTTATCGATCAGTTTACAAAATATAATGATTCTCTTAGTAAAAGCAAATTCATAACTATAGGTTCCTATACTCCATTAAATTTGGTTAATAAAACATATAATTATATATATATAACCGGAAATTGAGAAACCCCTATTGAATTTACAACCATTTTAACTTGCCATTAAATTTAACTGGCAGTTAAGGCACTTCAAAGTCTGAGTACCCTCCTGTTACGTCAAATTACCTAATTTTTTTCCTGTGTGCATAGCGATCACTCGACAAGTCTGCAGTGATTGGAACCGCCCTCGCACATACTCCCCATAAACATGGCATTGCTTACAGAAAATGCACGCGTGCAAACGGTAATCAATGTTTGGGTTTACGGCTACTATGTCTGCGAGCCAGTGCCTGTGCCGGGCACAAAGAACCCCGAGGAGAAGAGAAGACCCACCGAGAACCGGGAAGAATTGTACCTGCTTAAAGAGCCCCACAACATACATATGAACATACATACTGACATAGAGGAATACTCACACACATTGGGCCATCGTCGACGTTCCCTTTTTCTTTATGGCCAAAACTGGATTCCATTTGGCTCTTGGCTTAGAATGTGAACTTTGAAGAGTTGGTGCCGCGCCCGGCAATTTTACATACAAATGTGTTTTTAAAGCGTAATTACATGCACTTCTTTATCGCAAACAGACAGGCTGACTGACTGACAGACAGACAGACGCTCGAAATATGTATAGTTATCCGCGTGCATATTTGCCACAGAATGTGCCGGGGCCGCCTTTTAAAATGGGTCAGCAATTTATTGCCGTAGATTGCCGGGCGGCGACAATTAAGCAGCGAATCCAGTCCAAAAAATCTGGCACATACGGGATTACATCATCGTTCTGGTGGGGTCTTTTTTAAAAGTCTAAAAACAAATTTGGATGTTTTGTTTGTTTTTTTTCCCACCAATCCATTATTTTGGCGGCAAATAGAGAACACGAGAACTTGTTCTCCCGGCGATTCCATTTGACTTATTTGTGCTGCACTTTGAGTGATTTTCAAGGTCTGCGAAGCACTTCATTATAATTAATTACACTTTACACACTCCACTTCAAGCGAGGTTTAATTAAACTTTTTTGCAACAATTTATCAAACACTTGGCCAAAAACTCGATTAGCAACTTTAGTAGGACCAGAGCGAAGAGCGATGACCGGCGCTTGCTATCGATAGGTCCTTCTGGTCCTTTCGATAGTAGCCGGCTAACGGGGGGAAATTTAAAAAATTTCCTTTTGAAAGGTTAACTTCTTTAGGGCTTTAATTTACATTTCCCCATGATCAATTTAATATAAAATTAATTGAATAATCACAAGCAGGTGCTTTAATCTACCCCACCTAGGTAAAAAATAGAAAATAAAAAATTCCCATCACTGATTTGCAAGTCTCTCCAAAATAATGACTTAACAGTTGATAACTTGGCGTTCTCTCCACTGATTGCCAGGCCCCAACAACAATTATTTCAAGGGTACTGGAATCGCCGGAATGGGAATGGGAATCGGAATCGTGGTCGGACGGTAAAATGTCTTCTGATAAGATTGACAACAAAAATATATTGCATAGTCCCCCATAGAAGAGGCCACATGCATGGCAGGTCCGATCTGCTTTATATATGTGTATTCTATTCCTCCAAACCCAAACCGAAGCCAAATCAAATCAGTTTTTTTTATAAATATATACAAGTACTTATATAACTTTTGAGCTATCTGCATGGCTCGTGTACCTGTTGCGTTTTTGGGCGTGCGATTCTCGTGTGATTTTGCCATAGGTCGTATATAAGTATATTGCCAATTGTACTTTTGTTTTTTGTTTAATTATATAAGCGTGCTATCGCTGTGCAACACGACTATGAATTACTTTTGTACATTAACTAATTGCCAAACCATTTGTTTGTTTCCATTTTTGTTTTGTTCTGTTTTACAGGAATCCTTGAAAATTAGCCCCGATCACGATATGCACGACTGGCTGTTCGATCGCGACGTCAAGGATGACACCGTCATACTCCACGACAAGCTCATCTCGGATGCCCTGCTCAATGGCACACAGCCGATCAAGACGGAGCATTCCTACAGTCTCAACAGCGACGTTGATTCCCTGCCCGATTCTCCAAAAAGCCTGCAGGCTAAGATCGAGGGTATGTAATTTAAAATATCCTTTCTCTATTAAAGAAAAATATATATTTATATTTAAATGAAGAAATCTAATAGAAAGATATTAATATTCAATGAGATATTTATTATTTTTATCAGGATAATTGTTTAGCTTTTATTTAAAGTTTAAAATTTATATTTGGTTATCGACATGTTTTGTTTATAAGCTTTTAAATCTGCCCAAATAAATTATTAATATCCTTGAAATAAAGTTCTCTTTTTCCTGTAGAATTGTAGCTTTATAGATCTGTAAATATTACAATTTTCCGATTAAAACGATGACGCTTATCAATAATTTTGACAATTGCATCCCAGAACTTTTTTGGTGGACAGACTTGTTTAGGCCCCACCGAAAAGCAATCCAAACACAGTTGGCAGTTGGTTTAATTTAGGCCATGTACATAGTGAAAACAACCCGCTGACAAGAATTAAAAAAAAGAAAACAGAAAAACAGTTTCTGGTCCGTTCTGTTCTGTTTTTTAGTGTCGCGGTAGCATTTAGCAATTTAACGCAGTACTCGTGCATGAAGTTCTGTACTTTGACGCGATATCAGTTGTTCGTATGTATGGGAGCGCAAACTGTGTATAATTGCTTCTCTTTTTTTTTTTTTTTTTGTATTTTTCGAGCTGTTATTATTTGTAATTTTATGGAAACTGTACGACAACTGTGTAAATAATATTAAAACGAATTTATTTTTCGTGTAGTGGGTGCCAGTTGTTGGTGAGGTGGGCAAAGTTTTGCCAGAAAAAAAAAATTGTATATAAAAACTGAAACAACAGAATATCAAAGGCAAACACAAGTGCAGCCCGGGACACTGACGCGTGCGCCTAGGAAAAGTGATCCACAGACTGTGTACTAAGTGTGTTTGCATAGTTACAGACGAAGACTACTTAGAACTCGGATTCTTGCATAATAACATACATAATCATAATGTGGGTTAGACGCAATAATATTTACCTGGCATATTTGCGCATATTCTGTGCTATTTGATACCAAAAAAAACAAAAAGGAATTTGAAAATAAAGGTGGCAGCAAATACATACACTCATGTGAGCTAATTATTTTATTTTCGGAAAAAAACGCTATTAAACCAAGACCAATTTAAACCGATTCTAACTGCCTTTAGCCCAGGCAAAGTAATTAAAGAAGATAATCGAAAGTGTGATTATAATTAAAGTCAATGCTCTTTGGTTAATCCCTTTTTTTTTTATGAAGTCTCAGCTAAAAGATCTAATAAATAATTAAGCAAATTATAAAGAAAATATTGTAAGAGAATATTTTTACAAAATATTGTACATTCTGAAATGTAATTTTAAATACAAAGTTGAGCCATGGAGACAAGGGGCTTTATAGACCGTTATTGCTTTTGATAATAACGATATTTTAACGTAGCGATATTTTTCGATATTTAAAAATTCGATTACAAAGCTTTACGTATTTTTAATATTGTCTTGGACTAGATCTTTGTGTGTTTTTAGCTTAATTGTTTAGTGTACCTGTAATCCTCAAGAATGTGTATTGTATATATATTTTTTTAATTTTTTAAATCTTCTTGAAGCCATAAAAAAATGTGTATTATGTGGAAGCCTTGCTCACCTCTAACTTATCTTTTTTAAAGCCCATAAATTGTTGTAAATTGTAAATTTGACTAAAAAAGGCAACCTAAATATTAAATAAGATATTTTATTATTTTTATTATATTAAAAAAATTTCAGTGACTAAAACTAATTAATTTTTTAAATTATTTTTGTATCTTTTGTCTCCCCTTAGACATGGACGACGAGTGCTATCCCGCCATTTCACTGAAGACGGCCACCAGCGGGCGTGCGACCATCGACCCCAAGTGCCTCACCCTCCACGTCCCGCCCACACATGCCACGCCCAGCAGCCTGAGCCGGCTGAGCAGCAATCCCGCCCTGAACGCCTCCGTTTCCGTCGCCGAGTTGACGCGATCCGGACTACAGAGCCTGCAGGCGCAACAGTCGCACGGACACGGCTCCAGTTCCGGCCACGTAGTGGTGGCCTCCCTGGAGCACTTTCAACTACCTCAGCACTTGTACCACAACGACTGCAGCTCCTCGGTGTCGTCTGTGAGGGACGGCAGCATGTCGCCAGACATTTGCTCGGACATCGAGATCGACGAATCGGTCATCAAGGATGAGCCCATGTCGCCGGACTCTAGCTGCCCCGCCAGTCCCACATCGCAAGCGAGCAGCTCGCAGCATCAGCACCAGCTCAACCTTAATCTGGCCCACCTGCAGACGGAAATGCTATTCGAGCAGAAGGTGAGATGAAGGTTTTTTTTAAGGAAACCTCTAAAGATAAAGAGAAAACTTTGAAAATTATAGAAAATATTTATTTTATCATTTTTATTTTTCCCCCTCAGCACGGTGGCCTTTTGTTGACCGCCAGCAGCAGCAACAACAGCAACAGCCTCATCAAATCCCAGCAACGCCAGCAACAGCATCTCCTTGGCCAGGGCGATCTGCTGATGACCAAAATGGAGATCAAGAGCGAGAAACAAAATGCCAGCAACAGCAGCAATAGCAGCAGCAGCAGCAACAGCAGTGCCAGCAGCAGCTCGGGAAAATCCCATGGCCATGGCTATGGTATCCCGCTGACGCCACCCTCCTCCCTGCCCAGCGACGACTCCGAAGGTAACTTGACACCGGAACACTTGTTTTCGCCACTGTCGCCCAACGCTTCCGTTTCTATATCCGTGGCCAATGCAGCCGGCGGCGAGTCAACCGTGCGAGTCAGCCGCAATGCTGCCGGCATCACGCGCTCCGCCAGCGCATCCGGATCCGGATCCAGCTCCAGCACAACAACGACAACGACACGGCAGCCGATCCACACGCCGTTGATTAGTTCACAGCCGGTAAGTGTGATCAATAAGCTCAGGGAACAGGTGTGGAAGAGCAAACAATAAAAATTGCAAGACAAAAATATATATTTAAAAAAAATAACAGCATGGTAAATTCATACCTTAAGCCTAATAAGTAACTTAAAAAATAAATAATAACAATAAAAAAATATACTAACAAAAAGAAGGTTAAATTAAAGTACTTCAAAATATAATAGAAAACAAGTATTTGTAAAAAGAAGTAAATGAAAATAACATTTCACAGTCACCATGCTTATTTTTTGCACTATAAAAATGGATTAAAAAGAAAATATTATACATAAAATAACAATACTATCTACGATCTATTTTTATAAGAATTCCATTGAAAAAAGTCATTTCAAAATATAATAATGAATTCTCAGAAGATAGTAAATAGTATAATAATATAATCTTAAAGCTGATAATAGTTGTTTTCTTATGAAATTAAATAGAAAAACAAAGCAATTCCACAAACTAAACTATATTTTATAGATTCTAAGGAATTTGATTATTTTTTATTACAAAATTATTTATTTATTTATAAATATAAAAATATTAAATATATAAAGAACCCAGTAATAATATTCTAATATTAAAATATAATTATATAATTTGCAGAAGGGTTCCACGGGCACACTTTTGCTGACGGAGGAGGAGAAACGCACTTTGCTGGCCGAAGGCTATCCAATACCGCAGAAGCTTCCACTAACCAAAGCCGAGGAGAAATCACTCAAGAAGATTCGGCGTAAAATCAAGAATAAAGTGAGTTACCTCAGAAAAATAAAACCCAACCCAGAAAGAAAATATAATGTAACCATGGAAATCTTACAGATCTCTGCTCAGGAAAGTCGGCGCAAGAAGAAGGAGTACATGGACCAGCTGGAGAGGCGTGTCGAGATCCTGGTCACCGAAAACCATGACTACAAGAAGCGCCTCGAGGGGCTGGAGGAGACCAATGCCAATCTACTTAGTCAGCTGCACAAACTGCAGGCCCTAGTTAGCAAGCACAATGTGAAAAAGTCCTAAGGCCCCAAGGTTTCTGGTTTCCCGGAACTTGAGGTTCAACTTTGCCCCCCGCCTTCCCGAGATATTTGTAGATTTTAATAACAGTTTTTCGTTCGATTTGAGATCAGTCCTGGAGTTCCATTAGGAGGAGTCTTTGTTTATTTTTTGATGTAAGAATTTATGCAACGACTACGATGATGAGGAAATTTTAAATGAGAATTTTTTATGATCGGCTTTTTGGTTAGCACAAAGCGGTAAACATTCCCCTCGCCCCGGCCCCTCCACTAAAAAATTATATATCTATATATATATACATATTCCGCAAGATTTAGCTCGTATATTTAATGTGTATGTATGTCCTAGCCACTACTTGTAGAACCTCTATATAATATTATAGCTATATATATATATGTATATTAGTCATGCATTCCTGTTATATAAACTTTGATCTAGGCTGCAACTACAACAACAATTACAATTACAACTACAATTAAAATCGAGAAGCTCAAAACAGCAGAAGCAGCCAATCCAGAGAAAGAAGCGTCTAAAGAGAAGCTAAAATAACAATAATTGTAATGAAACAAACAAACAAAAAAAAAAAAGCGAAAACAACAGACCAAAAAACGAAAAACACATAAAAAAAAACAGCAAACAGTAGTAACGAAAAGTTTTAAAAAAATATATAGAAGATGCTGCGGAGCTCTAATTAAATATCTGAGAGAGCGCAGCCACAATGATGTGTGTACATTATGTTTTAATAATGATTGAATGATTGATTTGAACGAAGGAAAGACGACTCTCGGAGCTCAATCTCTGTGCTTTGTCTTTGGCATATGACTCTTGTTCCTTTAAACGATATTTCTCAACGAAAAACGAGCTGAAAATGAATGAAAAAAGCAAATAAATACCTAAACAATTCCATACTATAGCTCTTACTTAGGAATGATTTTACATAACGAACTATATATGTCAGCATTTAAGTTTCACTTCGTTTGTTTACTACCAGCAAGCAGGCCTCAGATCGAAATGCACGAATTTATTAACCAGAATTCGCTTACGTTTCTCCACCTGTTGCCGAATTATTTCAACAATTTCCGAGCCAATTATTAAAATCAATTATATATTGTTTGTTAAGTTTTATATTATAAGACACGGCGGCTGCACACGACGAACCAGAAAGAAATGAATCGAAGAAACTAAGCAGAAATCCAATCAATAATTCAATCAATGATTTCTTGTTTCGTTATATTTTTTAACCCATTTTTGAGCTTTACGTTTTTTAGTGCAATCTTCTTTTCGGGCAACAAACAATCATATTTTCTCGCAGAGTTCTGAATGAGTCAATCTAGTTTAAATTTTAGTTGAATTTATTATAAACAAAATTACTTAAACGAAATTTGTAAGCGTAACACGATGATTTCTTATACATAAAATACACTCTAGTTTAGCTATGTTTATTATGTGTGTCTGTATGTGTGTATAAATCAAGCGGACGAAGTTGTGCAATTGTTAGTAAAATAATTAAAAAAAAAAAAGCAAAAGGAAACTTTAGAGAAAATGAAAAATGAGAAAGAGAAAACGCTTGTGTGCAATGACAAACAAACATTTTTTATTATAAAGTGCGTTCAAGAAATGTAAAACCCTAAACATGGAAAGTAAATAAATACATTATTATATATTTATATGTATATATATATACAAGTATAAATAATGTACGACGACTATATACTATTTTTTGGCTATAGCATTTTTAACGCAATTATGCATATATTGTATGTTAAAAGTTGAAATTGAGAAAAAGAAAAACATAAACCAGAAAATACATAAAAAAAATTGTAAAACTTTTGACGATTGGTTGCTGTAATTTTTTGGCAAAGGTAAAAGTGCAATTCCAAATAAAATTCATACGAACCATAACAACAGCAGCAAAATGCGATTTGTTTTCATTTTTTAATTATATATTTTTCAGGAATAATAAATTATATACATAAATGAGAACGTATTACTTTTATAATATTTTTATTTCTATTTTTATAAATATACAGCTTATTTTTATCTGCTTTCATCAGGAAAAGTTTTTATCAAACCCGAAGCATTTATTTTGTATTATTTTTAAAGCTAGTTGAATACTTTATATTTTTTTAAATATTTATTTTATTATTTATGTTACTTTCCTTGAACATTTTTAATTTAAACGCGCGCCGATTTTGATTATCCTAGTCCGTTAGCATGCATATCGATAACAAACATCGCACTAAATTCGATTCCAGCTAAATCGATTTTCACAACATCGGCATTTTACCATCACTAAACATCGCATAAAGAAACAAGAACAGAAAACAGAAACAAGAAACTGAAAACTGAAAAGTAAATTTACCGTGGTAAATTCTCCAAATTTAAAATGGGAAAGAAAAACAGTAAGTGGCGAAGGTCAAGAGCTAAATATTTAAGGAATGAAAATACTCAATTGTAACCGCAGAATATAAGCAAGAAGAGGAGAAGCCAAAGCCTGCGGCTGCTGCACCTCCGCCAGCACAACAACAACAACCACAACAACAACGTCAACCAGCAAGTAAGTGCAAGAAAATGCATATATAAATATGTACATACATACATATACACACAGATAGCTCGTATTTGCATTCAGGTCGTAAGTATTGTTGTTCCAGAAGTTTCTTATTTAAGGGGGAATCACCAACTTCGATGCAACTCTGATGAAATCACTTGTGCACTTGTGTGAAAAAACCTGTTGGAAAATGCTATTGGTACACATCATCCGTTCGTACATGTGTATATGTATAGTCCGCACACAAAAACAACAATTAATTAAGTCAAACTTTATTTTGGTTTGATAACCTTTCCCAATTACTTTGTTATCAGCGGAAACTAAACCCCAAGAGATGATGTTCTTAGCTTGCTAGAGATTATTATTACAAAATCTCACAATACGTTGCCTTTTTAGAGCATTTTTCGTTATTTTAAGGCGCGCAGGCATTAAATTTAGCTCTTGATCCTCTTGATAACCACAGGCTCTGGCCCGAGTACTTCTGCTGCTTCGGGCGGATGGCAGACCCAAAGTGGCCAGCAACAGCAAAGGTCCCAACAAGGCCAAGGATGGGGCGGACAGCAGGGAACTCAACAGCAGCGTGGGCAGCAAGGACAACAAGGCGGCTACCAGTCCAGAGGACCGCCACAGCAGCAGCAGCAGCAAGGTGGATACCAGTCCAGGGGCCCACCACAGCAGCAGCAGCAGCAAGGTGGCTACCAATCCAGAGGACCACCACAGCAGCAGCAGCAAGGGGGCTACCAGTCCAGGGGCCCACCGCAGCAGCAACAGCGAGGTGGCTACCAGTCCAGAGGACCACCACAGCAGCAACAGCAAGGTGGCTACCAGCAACGTGGACAGCAGGGACAGGGTCAGGGTTCCTACCAATCTCGTGGACCGCCTCAACAACAAGTCGCCTTGCCGCCGCAGCCTGCCGGCACTATCAAACGTGGTACAATCGGCAAACCCGGCCAGGTGGCCGTTAACTATCTGGACATAAACATGGAGAAAATGCCAGCAAAGGCCTACCATTACGATGTGAAGATCGAACCAGAGCGACCCAAGAAGTTCTACAGACAGGCCTTCGAGCAGTTCCGCGTGAATCAACTGGGCGGAGCCATTGCCGCCTTTGATGGCAGAGCCTCTTGCTATTCGGCGGACAAGCTGAACACTAAGACACCTAATGGTGAAGTGACTGTAAGTACTTTAAAAAGCGAATCATCCTAAGATGAGAGGAACTTTGGAACTATTCTAAGTGCTCTTCTTGAATGCATTTCAGGTGACAGATGCCCATGGTCGCACTTTGAAGTATACAGTGGAAATCAAGGCCACTAACGATTTGGAAATCGATCTAAACTCGCTGAGAAAGTTAGTAAAGATAAATATGTACTGGACAATATTAAAATTCAATCAATTCCCAGCTATATGTCTGATCGAATCTTTGACAAACCTATGCGGGCCATGCAGTGCCTCGAGGTAGTAATGGCCGCGCCATGCCACAGCAAGTCCATTCGGGCAGGACGCTCCTTCTTCAAGATGTCCGAGCCGGGCCAGCGTCGTGAGCTAGACGATGGCTATGAGGCTTTGGTTGGTCTTTATCAGGCCTTTATGCTGGGCGATCGTCCTTTTTTGAACGTCGACATTTCGCACAAGTCCTTTCCGATAGCCATGCCGGTGCTCGAGTATTTGGAGAGATATGGCCTGAAGGCGAAGATCAACCGGGACACCAATTTGGGTAATTCGCGTCGCTTCATTGAGCCGTTCTTAAAGGGCATCAATGTAGTTTATACGCCGCCACAAGCGTTTGGCTCGGCGCCTCGAGTTTACAAAATAAACGGGCTTTCAATGAATCCGGCCATTAGCCAGACATTTGAGGCCGACGGCAAACAAATCACCATTGCTAATTACTTCAAGGAACGCAACTACCAGCTGCAGTTTCCGCAACTCCACTGCCTGCATGTGGGACCTCCCATGAAGAATATTATGGTACCCATCGAGCTCTGTCGCATTGAGGCTGGACAGGCATTGAATGTAAGTTCTTTGTCCACTGAGATTCAATTTATTTCCAGCTCTAGCCTCCTTCTACTTACATTTATATTTTGTTCTTTTGCAGCGCAAAGATGGGGCCACGCAGGTGGCCAATATGATCAGGTTCGCCGCCACTTCGACCAATGAGCGCAAGGCCAAGATCATGAACCTGCTTAAATTCTTTGAGCACAATCTCGACCCAACCGTCAGCCGGTTTGGCATTCGCATTGCCAATGATTTCATCGTTGTGTCCACTCGCATTCTCAATCCGCCGCAGCTGGAGTATCAGGGCAACAGGTGGTGCCCGGTCAGAAACGGTTCGTGGCGCATGGACGGCATGCGGTTCCTGGAGCCCAAGCCCAAGGCTCACAAGTGGGCCATACTGTACTTTGATCCGCCGTACGGTCGTAAGATGCACTACAACCAGGTGAGCGACTTTGAGCGCCAAATGCTTTCCCAGTCCAAGACGGTGAGCGTGAGCCTGGCCGACAAGGCTGAAATTAGGACCTTCACGGACGAGCGCAATCTGGACGCTTGCTTTGGGGATCTCAAGAAGGCCCAGTGCGATCTGGCCTTTGTGATCATACCGCAGAACGGAGCCTCCTACGATGTGATTAAGCAAAAGGCCGAACTGCAGCACGGCATTCTGACGCAGTGCATCAAACAGTTTACCGTGGAGCGTAAGCTAAATCCCCAGACCATTGGCAACATCCTGCTGAAGGTCAACTCCAAGCTGAATGGCATCAATCATAAGCTTAAAGATGATCCTCGTCAGCCCATGCTCAAGAATGCCATGTTTTTGGGCGCTGATGTCACCCACCCGTCCCCGGATCAGCGTGAAATTCCGAGCGTGGTGGGCGTGGCTGCTTCGCACGATAAATACGGTGCCGCCTACAATATGCAGTATCGCTTGCAGCGCTCGGCTTTGGAGGAGATCGAGGATATGGAGTCCATAACCTTGGAGCATTTGCGTGTATATTACCAGTACTGCAAGTCGTATCCGGAGCACATTCTCTACTATCGTGATGGTGTGAGTGATGGACAATTTCCGAAAATTAAGAACGAGGAGCTGAGAGGCGTAAAGGCAGCTTGCGCCAAGGTGAGTTTAGGCTTGGATTCAGCAAACTTGATATCATTCGTTTCTTACCTTTACCCCTTTTGTGTTATAGATGAAAATCAATCCAAAAATTTGCTGCGTTATTGTGGTTAAGCGCCATCACACTCGCTTCTTCCCGAACGGCGAGCCTTCGCAGTACAACAAGTTCAATAATGTGGACCCTGGAACCGTGGTCGATCGCACTATTGTGCATCCCAACGAGATGCAGTTCTTCATGGTTAGCCACCAGTCGATCCAGGGTACCGCCAAGCCAACGCGTTACAATGTCATTGAGAATACAGGCAATCTAGATATTGATTTGCTCCAGCAATTGACCTACAATCTCTGCCACATGTTTCCACGATGCAATCGCTCCGTTTCGTATCCAGCACCGGCCTACTTGGCCCACTTGGTGGCTGCCCGTGGACGTGTTTATCTAACGGGGTAAGTTTCGCAGTTTTCCAGTGCTAGTTTATTTTCCTTTGAATTAATTTTCACTGTTTTTTTAAATAGTACAAGCCGGTTCCTGGATCTGAAGAAGGAATATGAGAAGCGAAAGATTGTGCCCGAATTTATGAAGACGAATCCCATGTACTTTGTCTAGGCAAAGAGTGAAACTCGAAAGCCTACTTCTCTTATTCTTTTATTATATTTCTTTATTGATTTATCACATTTCTTAAACCATATAAATACATATATTATATTGGATGTACTCTGTGGATTCCCTCAAGAGTTTTGAGCCTTGAAATTATATATTTCAATGCATTTTCTTTTTCTAAAGTGAGATGAAAATGCTCTTAAAGGAATCAACAAAGAATAAACCTTTTAAATATTCATTAATCACAAATAAAACTCAACTGAAACAGGAATTATAAAGTTAGACTTAGTTTATATTTATAGTTTTGGCGATACCCTTTTACATCGCATCGAAATGGAATCTGTGGGACTCTTGCAGACGCTCCTGCTTATCCTCGCGCTTCTCTTTGATGTACAGCACCAAGATGATAAGGACAATGACCAGACAAGTGCCGCCCAGTGCCACCACGCTCATTAGAATGAGTTTGCTGGGCGTGACAAACAGCTGGGCCTTCCAGTGTGTTGGCTCATTCAGTGGCTTTGGCACCACAATCATCTGGGAATTGGGTATCACCTGCGTCCAGTTCCGAAACTTGCTGCCCAGGCCAACGACCAGTTGGTCCACAAAGTTCGGCGTTCGCCCCAGACCAAAGCAGGTGTACGGCAGCTGCAGGGCAAAGTAGGAGGCCTGCGGTAGTTGTACACTGCTACCGCACTGCTGATCCCCGTCCTGGGTGATGGTGCTGTAGGTGATGCGGGGTCCTGGCAAATTAGTGCCATATGTGCGCTGCCTCCTGCCCAAGGCAGTGCGTCGCTCTGGATTTTGCTTGTTGTCCAGACCCGTCAGTACAATCACCTTCACGAAATTGGCATCATAGTCCAAGGTGTTACGGAAGGCCAGGGGCTGATATTTGCCCTGATCATTCTTCCGGGTGAGTATCACATCCAAAACGCCGTCCTGGTAGAAATCATAGAAGGCGCCCGCCACTGTATGGTTGCCCATCGGCGACAGAGCGTTCCAACGCACCTCGAATGTACGCTTCAGCGGCTTGTCGCACACAGTGCACGGCACGTTTTCCAGCAGGAACGTCTGCGTCACTGGCTTATCCACGTTCAGGGGCTGCAGGGTAACCAGCAGATCCGGATAACCATCCAGATTGAAATCGCCGCTCCTGGCCGTAATGGTCCTTAGGTAGACATCATCAGCTACAGGCGGCACAAACGTCCAGGTAACGCCCTGAGGGTCGCGAAAGTTGACATGAAGATTGTGGAAATCTTTTCCATTGTGCACGATAATTGAAGAGTTCCGGCAGCCCGAGTGGATGCAAAAAGGCACCACAATATTCTGCACGCCCTTCAGCTCAAAGTCCATGAAGACGGCCTGACCGACTTGGTAATCTTTTTCGCCGATTAGCTGGAACTTGATCTGGTGGTCATAGCTAAAGTTCTCCTGCTTGTCGGGCTCATCGATTCCATACCAGATCTCGTACGAGTCCTTTGTCTGCAGAAACAGATCGGCCAGGAAGTCCTCGTTGAGATCCAGATAGGCGTTGGCATTGGGAATGCTCAGCGAATTGCCTTTGATCTCCGTGGGCTCCGCCTGGTGCACCACCTGCGGCGGCTGTCGACTGCTGCTGAATATCCAAAAAGTGCGAACGCCATTCTCGTCCAAGCCATACAGATCGATGATCATGTCGCGATTAAAATCTAGGGCCATAACCTCGCCCTTGCTCCTGAATAGTGGCTCCTTGGAACATATGAGCTCGGTGGTGTTGCCCCAGTTAACGAGCACATCGTATGTATCGCTCCCGCTAGCCTTAAGGTTAACCAGCACATCCATCAGTGCGTCGCCATCAAAGTCTCCGGGAATTACGCTCACAATGGTCTTATCGGCGTAGTGGCAGTAGGGTCCCGCGGCGAGTAAGGGCTCTGTATCGTGCCCTGATAAAAGATGGCAATGAAGCTGTAGTATTTGTACATTGAACAGTCATTATCACCTACCGTAGAGAATCTGCAGCGTCTTCTGATCGCGTATGAGGAAAACGTCCGTCAGTTCATCAGAATTAAAGTCCCCGAAGGCAGCCACAATGCCCTCTTTGTTGGTGCCGAATACCTTGTCCGTGATGTCGCTGGCGTGGCTGGCTATACAGCCCAGTACCAGCACGAGCACCAGCAGCAGCGTGCTGTGTTTCGCCATGCCAATTTTTTATGCTTTTTTTACACTAACGATTTGCGTTTCTTTTGTTATTTGTACAAAAATCAATAGTGAATCAGATGTTGGGCTGCCAACTCGACGGCAGGGGAGAAATCGTGTTATCGATAACCAAAGCAGTTTTCCACCTGCCAGGATAGTCAGAAATAGAATAATAGAAATAAAAATAGTCTGTCTTTCCTTATTTAATTGTAAATTAGCTAATTTGCAGAGGAAACGCCATAATTTAAAATTAGTTTTACTTTAGTAGCGATTTCGATACATTGGCATTCGATTACTCGATTCATTCATCGAATATGCCTTCGTTTACATCGGAGTCATAAAATATAATAAAACAAAAATTGTATAAACTGGAATCCCTTTACGCCAAGAAACGACTGTCAAAAACAAAGTGAATTAAAATCGCGTGAATTAAGCGCTTAGTTACGCCAAGTCAAGTCAAGCTGCGTTTTCCAACACCTGCGCCCCGCAGTTGGAACGTTTTCCAACAAAGTTTTGTGTCCCCGTAAAATAAACAAATAATAACCAATTACTACCACAACAATGGTGAGTACCGTTGCAAATTGTTGCTAAATACACTGGCCAATCATTAATTAGTTGAGAGAGCGCGAGAGAAAGTGGCGTTTGCCGCTTTGTTTTGTCTACAGCGCAGCCTCTTCTTCTTCCTGCATCGCCAGCTTGTCGTTCGTTGTATTTATGCAATTCGTTTTTTGACAGCTCCAAATCCTCAGTTTCGAAGGTAACTAATTAGTCACTATTATCTGCATCTTTTTGCAGAACAAACTCAAGTCCAGCCAGCACCGCGAGAAGGTGAAGAAATTCATATCGCTGACACGCACGGACGAACAGACGGCGATCTACTGCCTGCAAAAGAACGACTGGAAGCTAGACCTGGCCAGCGACAACTACTTCCAGAATCCCGAGTACTATTACCGGGAGCTCGACCGCAAGCGCATCGAGCAGCTGTTCGTGCGCTATCGCGACCCCAGCGATCCGCTCAAGATCGGTTCGCAGGGCGTGATCCACTTTTTGGACGACCTAGACCTGAAGCCAGACTCTAAGCTGGTGCTGATCATTGCGTGGAAATTCCACGCCGAAGTGCAGTGCGAGTTCTCCCGTGATGAGTTCATAAACGGGATGTGCGATCTGGGAATCGATAGCATCGACAAGCTGAAGGCCAAGCTGCCGTTATTGGAGCAGGAGCTAAACGATGCCGGCAAGTTTAAGGACTTTTATCACTTCACCTTCAACTATGCCAAGGATCCGGGCCAGAAGGGCATCGACCTGGACATGGCCATTGCCTACTGGTGCATTGTGCTCAGCGGGCGCTTCAAGTTCTTGGACATCTGGTGCCAGTTCCTCGAGGAGAAGCACAAGCGTGCCATTTCGCGGGACACCTGGAACCTGCTGCTGGACTTTGCCACCAACATCGATGACCGGATGAGCAACTATGACTCTGAGGGCGCCTGGCCGGTGCTAATCGACGACTTTGTTGAATGGTGCCAGGAGAATAACCATCTGAAGGAGGACCCCTCCTCGCCGGGTTCCGGCTTCCAGCAGCAGTCCAGCTCGAGTTCTAGCTCCCAGAAGAACATATCCAGCGCGTACCAGACCTCGCACAGTACAAACATGAATTATGGCTAACGAATTGTTACAACCTATTGTATTCTCATTAATAATAGATTTGCTTTTATCTTGATTATTCTAAATAACGGAGATACTAAGCAAGGCCGCTAAATTTACATTTTCTCTATAAAAGCGTCGTAATAAATAAATAAAGTTAGTAAATGTAAATTTTGTTCAATGTGTTTATTTTTGAGTAAGGCGGTCATGATTTTAAATTATATAGCGAACTGCAAGGGTATACCATATTCGGTTTTTCTAAGTAAGCTTCCTTTCTTGTTTATGTTTCTTGAATAGTCTTGTCTTTTAGAATAAATATTTTATTATCACCTATAGAGGAATATAATATTCTTATATTTAAACAAATTTTTCTATTAATTTAACACTCCATTTTCAAAACCCCAAACATATTTTTTTAATATAAATTAAAACAATAAATAAATGCAAGAAATCAGTGCAAAGGATGGCAGTTCTGCTCACGAGCTCCAAAGTATTGAAAATCTATCGGGCAAGAGTGTCATCTCTAGCGGTGTGACCGTTCGGCTGATTGATATTGTTGCAACGATTTTTTCGCTGTTAAAAATATTTAATAATATCCATCGTAGGCGTGCTAGGCACGCGTGTGTGTGTGTGTTAGCCACAGCGCCCATACTGCGTATAAAATGTAAGGTGCCAAATCGAGTGTCCCGTACGATTAAAGTGAAAAATCGCCTTCTTATTCGACACTGACTGGATTGCCATTGCCCCGAGCCGAACCCCCGTCGTAATCGGTGTGTGTGTGTGTGCCTGCCTTTGTGGGGGTGTGTGTGTGTGGGTGGCCCGTATGTCTGTCATGGCTATCGGCATTGTTGTTGTTGTACTTTCTGGCCGTCATTAATTTGGACTCGAAAATCCTTTGCCCTTGGTGCTGGTGCTGGGGTTCTGTGCCATATACAATATAATCAAATCTGAGCAAATAGCGGACGGTTGTGTTTGCGAATCCAATTATCATGTGAATAACTCGCGCGTCTCGCCCTCGAGTGGGCGAAATTTAAACAAATACCCCCCCAGACGTGTCTCTCTCTCTCTGAGTATGTGTGTGTGTGTATTAGTGTGTAAATAAATGCCACTAAAACCAAAATAAAAAATAAATAAACGAAAACAAACGCGAGCTGATAACCGCACAAGTTGGACTACGACAACGTCGAGACAACCTCGGAGCACCATTTGCGACCGCGACCAGCAGCTATAATACCCCCGTATAGCCCCGACCCGTTTCCAGCGGCGTGATAGATCCCGATCCCCAAGCAGATGATAATCCGGCAGATAATTTAGGGGCCCCTTTCTTGAGCTGGCAAAAGGGTAAATAACGGGTCATAAACCTACTTAGGGAATCTTGGTAAAGAAGCTCTAAAGATATACATATTTACGTACAAATTAAAAAAAGAAAACACTTGTTCAAAAGTTTAAAATCCATTTGCAACCTTTCAAATTAAATATTTATTATTTTTCTTACTATATTATTTATTTATTTATTTATTGATATTTAAATTAAACTACTACTAAAATTGTGCAACATTTTAAATTGATTCCATAAAAAAATGAATATAATATTTAACTTTCAAAACAAGCCATTTCTGACACCATAAATTATTCATTATTCCTCTTAATTTTGTCAGTGTGTCCTTAAAAATATTTAAGATGTCTAGATATTTAATAATTATAAAACAAAAATTTAAAAATAAAAAAAACATTTAAGTGGCAGTATAAACTATAGTACATTCATATTTCTTACAAAACAAAACACAAAAACTGTTTAAAAAAGTGTACGACAGCTGATTGAATAATTTATTGATACCGCCACGCCCCTGCTTATACAAAGGCCTTTCTCCGGGTATAATCACAAAACACTCACGACATTCGTTTGGATGAAAGCAGCTCCCTTTCAGCTCGAGTCATTGTTCAGCCTCCGCGGGCACCTGTTCATTGTGGAAATTCTGGGCTATATCACCCCGAAAGCCAAGTGGGCGAAGGCTTCCGTACATACATACATTATGATGTATATGTAGTTGTAATACATATCAATTTATTTCCATTCCACTTTTAACAGATTTATTTATTTATATTGCCTTTTTCTCTGCTGCTCGGCTCGTGCAAAGTGACAACTCAACGAGATTAATTAGCTGGGGGGTTGGTTTGTGTGTGGAAGCAATTGCCAAGTGGCGGCGGGGCAGGAACTGGACTGGGGGAAACGCTTTGCCATTCGTATGCTAATTAATTTGTTCCTTATTGCAGCCGCCGCCGCCGTCGACAACAACGCCATGTCCAAGACCTGTAGCAAGAACGCTCGGGAGATTAAGAACCACAACATGCGGGGAGCCGCCTGCTAAGAGATCCCAGCACCGAGAGAAACGAAGCCCAAGCCCGTTATCATGAGCCAGCGCCAGGAGGCAGCTGCCGCTGCCGCTGCTGCTGCGTCAGCACCAACAACATCGTCATCCTCAACGTCATCGTCATCGTCCCATTCAGTCAGCGTTGCCGCTCTGGGCAGCAAGATATCCACCTCTACACCGCAGAAGGGCGATGAGCAGCAGGAGCAGGAGTTCATCAACCGGAGCGTGGCCAGCGAGATTGATGCCATGTCTATCTCTGGTTCCGTGTCCGCAGACAGTAGCACCACCAGTGCCACTAATGCCACTGCCTCTGCTGCTGGTACCTCGGGCAGTCCAGTGGCCAAGCGGCATTTGAGCACGGCAAATTTGTCGCGAATACGTCCGCAGTCGAGCTACTCGGCACGCGTCCTCATCTTTGACGATTCTGACCAGGAGGCAGCTATGGCGGCTGCCGCTCTGGCCGCCGCCTCATCCTCCTGCAACAGCAGCGTCAAGTCCTGCAGCGGTCTGGAATTGCTGCCCATGTCACCCGCTAAGCTGTCCATTGGCCACAATGACAGCTCCGCGAATGGCTCCTCGATGATGCGAAATCTGAATCTAACCAAGAGCTCATCGGGTGGTCTGTCTGGCAGTTCCACTTCGCTGCACTCGCGAGGATACACCGCCTTGCTCCGGAAGATTTCCTATCAGCAGCACACCAACTCGCTGCGAGCAGTTAGTAGTGGTAAGAAATATATTGCTATATAATTTTCTGTAGTTTTTTTTTTAGATTTTATTTAAAAATTGCATTTTGCTCTGAATTAACGTAAGAATTCTCGGCTTTCTTTTGGAAACCCTTCAGTATCAACAATATTATTACGATATAAGCGTGAACAACGCATGTTTGCGGGCTATTTTTAACGCTGTTACAGTTAAAGGCGTGACAAGCAGCAGCCTTTTTTTGTATGTGTTTTACAAATTAGCATCTGTATAATATCTACATCTATATTTGTGTTTTGATCATCCATCATCCGTCTGTCTGGCTGTTTATCTAATTGCTAAAAATACAAATATGTTAAGAATAATTTATTAATAAATAAATATTTATGACAATAATAATTTCCACTTGCAGAAGCCTCCAATTTACTGCGCATGCGCCACTCCTCGCTGGGCAAGTCTGCGCCTTGTCTCACTGGCAACTATTTCCGCCACGAGCTGTCCGCCCCACCACAGCCACCGATTCAGGCTTCTGGCTCCTTGACCCTGGGCCAGCACAACATCTCGCGATCCGGCAGCTGTGCAGGCATCGGTCTGGCCGGCAAGCATCATCATCATCTTTTGCATGGCGTCGTGATGCGGGGCTCTGGAGGAGGAGGTGGTGGTGGTGGTGTTACCGCTGGCAATTCCTCGTCAAGTGGTGTGGCTCACCATCGCCTCAGCTTGGTAACGAATGCGGCTGCCGTGGCAGCTGCAGCGGCCGGGGGATCACGAGCCCATTCCCCATACTCGGCCAGTCCCATGGACAGTCCGCGCTTGAACTCGCCCATGCCATTTGCATTTGCTCCGATCAAAAGGATAGCCTCCTGCCGGGGGGTTGTGGACGGACGCCGATGGTCGGTGGCCTCGCTGCCCTCCTCTGGCTATGGCACCACACCGGGCAGCTCCAATTTATCGGTGAGTTTAAGGGATATTTTTGCAGAAAATAAATAATATTCTTTCCTTCTGCGAAACAGTCTCAGTGCTCCAGTCAGGAGGGTCTCAACCAGTTGCCGTCGCACAACAACAACATTCCGCCCGGCGTTCAGGAGGCGGATGCCGCTGCCGTGGCCGCTGGGGCCTGCTGTGCCGAGCACTTAAAGCAGCATTGTACCAAGCACTGTGCTCTGCTCTTGGCAGTGTCTCAGAAGCAGCCTCAGCCACCGAAGCCACAGAAACTAATTCCAGCGGCTGCAGCAGCGGGTTGTGTCAATTGCTGCGCCGAACTGAGCCTCGCCTGCGGTGGGCAACAACAACAACAGGCTGGTGGAGGATCTGCCAATAGTTCCGCCTCGATCAGTGGTATGCCTGGTGGTGGACGTATGTCGCCCTACTTTCGCCCACGCTCTAGGTCGCTCTCCAGTCCATCACGCTCGCCGATTGTGGACAATGAGATAGCCGTGATGAACACCCTGTACAAAGAACGCTTTCCCAAGGCCACCCAGCAGATGGAGGAGCGACTGAAGCATTTCATCAACGAGAACAAGAGTGCGGCTTGCAACAGTTTTAGGGACTCGCAGCCGATAGTTCGGTGAGTGCAGCTTTCGCTTAAAGGGGGGATATGAATCAGGGAATCAGAACTTGGAATTATCTTTAATTAAAACCTATTTACACCCTTTAGGTTCGTGCATCATCAGGTGCTGGAAATGGCCAGGGACTGTTTGCACAAATCAGAGGCCAAGCTGATAACCTCTCAGTATTTCTATGAGCTGAGCGAGAACCTAGAGCGTTTGCTGGTGGAGACCAAGGAGAAGTCACCGGAGGCAGCCGCCGAGCTAAGCGGTGTGATCAAAAAGCTATTGCTGATCATCTCGCGACCGGCTCGATTGCTTGAATGCCTGGAATTCGATCCGCAGGAGTTTTACGAGCTGCTAGAAGCGGCCGAGGGTCAGGCCAAGGCCATGCCGGTGATCAAGGCGGATATACCGCAGTACATCATACACAAGCTGGGCCTCAACCGGGATCCCATTGCCGAGCTGCAGCAGGAGTTGAGAGAGACGCAGCAAATGTGCTCGGAACAGGTCACCGTGCTGGCGGATCCCACGCAGCCTGGAGGAAGTTGTTTGCTTTTGAATTCCCCCTTGACAAGTGCAGCCAAACAGTTGAGCAGTTTGGCTTTGGATTCGATTGTTTTGGATGCGGGCAGCGGCACAGCCACGCCTCAACAGCCGCCTCAGACGCCAGTGGCTACGGGTGACACGGCTCCCTCCTTTGCCGTGGCCGTGAGTCAATTGAGTGAGGAAAAGCCAGGAACAAGCAGCAGCAGCAGTGGAACGGGAGCAGGCACCGCTACTGGAGGATTAAGCTCTACCCAACAACAACAGCAACCCTCACCCCACGAAACCGACTTTGACATCGTCAAGCTGATCTCAAACGGTGCCTATGGAGCCGTCTATCTGGTGAAGCACAAGACCACCCGTCAGCGCTTTGCCATGAAGAAAATCAACAAGAATAATCTCATCCTGCGAAACCAGGTGGAACAGGTGTTTGCCGAGCGCGACATTCTCTCGTTCGCGGACAATCCCTTTGTGGTCAGCATGTACTGCTCGTTCGAGACGAAGAAGCATCTCTGCCTGGTGATGGAGTACGTGGAGGGTGGCGACTGTGGCACGCTGCTCAAGAACATTGGGCCGCTGCCCGCGGACATGGCGCGCTTCTATTTTGCCGAAACAGTATTAGCCGTGGAGTATCTGCACAGCTACGGGATTGTCCATCGGGATCTCAAGCCGGACAATCTGCTAATCACGGCCTTGGGTCACATTAAGCTCACCGATTTTGGCCTCTCCAAGATGGGTCTCATGTCGCTGGCCACCAATCTGTACGAGGGTTACATTGACTCGGAGACGAGGCAGTTTTCTGACAAGCAGGTGAGGCATTCAATCCACTTAAGCATTAATATTCTAGGTGACATTGTGATGTGACCAAGGAGGACTCTTAATTCAGAAGGTTTTAAGGTAGCTAACTTGACTTATTCCCCTTTAAGGTTTATGGCACACCCGAGTACATAGCCCCAGAGGTGATCCTGCGTCAGGGCTATGGCAAGCCAGTCGATTGGTGGTCCATGGGCATTATTCTCTACGAATTCCTCATCGGTTGTGTGCCATTTTTTGGCGAGACAACCGAAGAGCTATTTGCGCACACCGTCAACGATGACATCGAGTGGCCGGACAGTGAGGATTGGCCTGTGCAAACGGAGGCAAAGGACATTATTTCGCAGCTGTTGCAGCAGAATCCCCGCGATCGTTTGGGCACACAAACAGGAGCCCTGGAGATGAAGGAGCATGAGTACTTTTTGGGGATGGACTGGAACTCGTTGTTGCGCCAGAAGGCGGAGTTTGTGCCGCAGTTGTCCCACGAGGATGATACCAGTTACTTTGATAGTGAGTATTAACCAATTTTTAAAAATCCTTTTAGAAAAAAGATACATTTTTTGCTTAAACAGCTCGCATGGATCGCTATAATCATGATCTTGGTGGTGAGGACACGGACGATACGGATGACACGCCTGTTTTTGGCAGCTTCAACTCGTACACGCCTCAATATAGAAAGCAGCATTACAGCTGGTCACGACATGCAACGGCCACGGATGGAGGGAAGCCACCAGCCCTTACATCTCTGCCTTCGCGGGCGCAGGAGAATCCCTTACCCAATCCGGGAGTCTCTTCAACTGGAGCCTTGCCCAAGCTGAAAACGGGCTTGGCTACAGGAAGGGGAAGCGGAAGCGGAAACGGCAGAGGTTCAGGCTCTGGTTCCAATGAGGGAGTGGTCAACAAATTCCTGAATACTCCCCAATTGCGTAAGCTGGATGTGAGTATTTATCTTGGGTTCTTGTGTCTCCTTCATACTTATAATCCCTGTTGTTCTCCGCAGCTCTCTTCTAGCTGCCTGAAAGTGCCCTCCACCCCGGATGCCGACTACTTGCCCGAGCTCTTGCATAATGTCACCATTGGCAATGATGCAGAGCTGCGCATGCTGAAGCATTATTTGCAGCAGCCACCTCAGGGACCTACTCAGCGTCTCCAACAGCGTCATAGCATGCCCCCAAATACCACCACGATTATAAGCACGCCAGCTACTCCGCCGCCTTTCCAAACGCAGGCAGCCATGGTGGCCACTCCGCCGATGCCGACGACAGCTAGCAGTTTCTCACGCAGCACACCGGAAAGCTCGCAAACGGACAGCGATGACTTCTCACCGCAGATCAACCGCAAGCGTAAGGGTGTCTGTGCCCGGGATATTTTGCCACGCTTCTCCATCTCCATTGAAGATGAAACTATATCAGCGGGCAGCTCCTCCACGGAGAACATGAACCTGCCGAGGGAGCAATCTCCTTTGGCCCTGCAGCATCAACCCAAGTCCATGGACGGCACCAGTAGTGGCAGCATGAAGCATCATCGCTCAAGGTCAATAGTTAAATCCGCCTCCGCTTTGGGTCTCTCGTTGATGACATCGCTGGACAACAGTCAATTGGCCGCTCAACTGTGCGGCATTCAATCTCCTGGAGGCGGTGGCAATGGCTCTAGCACGGCCAGCTCCAGGGATACCTCACCTTGCCGGGAGCTCTCGCCCTTGGTGACCAATCTAAAGCCACCGATTATCATACGACGCGGACCTCGCGGCTTTGGCTTCACAGTGCACACCATAAGGGTTTACTACGGTGACACAGATTTCTATACGATGCACCATTTGGTGATGGCTGTGGATGAGGGTAGTCCCGCCTTTGAGGCGGGCTTGCGGCCAGCGGATCTCATTACCCATGTGAATGGAGAGGCAGTGCAGGGACTATTCCACACTCAAGTGCTGCAGTTGCTTCTGAGCGGTGGCGAGCATGTAACCCTAAGGGCCACGCCCCTCGAGCACACCAGCATCCAGAGCGGTGGACGTAAGCGGGATCTCATGCAGAGCAAGCTGGCCAAGAAGGGGCTGAATCGGCAGAAGAAGCAAACCAAGCGAGAGCACGACAAGAAGCGTAAGACCTCGCTGTTTCGTAGGATCAGCAGCAAGCGTGCCAATGCAGAAATGCAGCAGGTAAGTTGTTCAAAAAATAATAATCATTTTTACATTTATATTCCCCAATTTTTTTGTATAGTTCTCGGCGGGCACAAGTTCACCCACCACTCCCTCGGCCCGGAATCTGTCGCCGCTGGACTCTTCGTATCACAGCAGCAGCTGCTGCCAGTCGGCAGGCAATTCGGCATCCTCGCAATCCACCTCGCCCTCATCCTCATCGCCCAACACACCCACCGGTTCGAGTGGCTCTAATGCAGGATTAGCTTCAGCTCCCTCAACTCTCATTGTGGCTGCCCCACCACCACCCACGCAGATGGTTCTCCTGCCCCATGTGGGAGCCGTCGTTGGAAGTAGTCCCACTTCAGTGGGCAATGTGCCAGGTGGGAAAGCAATTACATTTTCCAGTTTTAACTGGTATATAAAATCTTTCTTGTCTTTTAGTGTCACCCACTGGCGTTGTTCCCCAGCTGTATCAGCGTCCATCGACCCTCCATGGTCTCAAGCACAAGTTGCATGCGGCCACTGCTGTGATTTCCGGTGGCGGTGGCAATGCTAGCAATCCCGCCGGGGGGCTTAAGACCCTCCACACCACGAGTAACAATTCGCTGCCCAATCGCCGGAAGTCAGTGGGTCACATACCGCTGTCGCCTTTGGCTCGAACACCTTCACCATCGCCGCTGCCCTCGTCGCCTACAAGATCTCCCTCGCCCCTGGCCTTTCCTTTAGTTGGGCACCAGCCGGGCGCCTCAAATACCACACAGTCGTATAGCCCGGGCAGTACCCTGCCCACGCTGCAGGCGGGAGGGGTGAGTGGGAACAGCAAGAAGGGTGGTTTCGCCAGGACCAAGTCGGCGGAGCCCAGTTCGCCGCTGCTGAGGCGAGCCTTGTCACCGGATCGACTGCATCCGCGCAGTGCGGAGACCAAGATATCGCCACTTTGCTGCTCGCCGCCCATTAAACAGGCGACGCATACACAGCGCGTGGTGGCTACCTCTTGGAGGTCAACGCCTGGCGCCAATGGAGGAGGAGCAGCAGGCACAGCTCAAACGCAGCAGCAGCAGCAGCTGGTGACAGCGGCAGCTCCGCTGGAGGAAACTCAGAGGCAAAGTCAGGGAGAACCAGGAACCACAAGCGGAGCAGAGGTAACCCTGGCCAACTGTGAACCCTTGCCGCGCATTGCCGAGGAAAAGGACTCGCCCACCAGCAGCACTCAGGATAGCAGCAGTTGCCTGACCGAGGGTTTTATGCCCGCCATCGAGGAGTATGCCGAGGGTGAGTCCACATCATCTTCGCCCACGCAAACCCTGGAGAAGCCCACAAAGGTAAAGGCCACCGAGCAGCCAGAGATGGAGCCAGCTGGCAAGTCCAAGAAGATAGATCTAGGTGGGTGTAAAAAAATTAATGAATAATTTATTAATAAATTAAATAATTAAAAATTTATTTAATAATTAATTTATAAATTAAATATTTAAAAAATTAATTAATAAATTAAATAATTAAAAAAGTGAATTAGAATTTAAATTAATTTAAAGAAAATTAAAATTAATGAAATATTTCAATGAAAAATAAAATTAATTAAATAATTTAATTAAAATTAAAGTTTATTAAATAAAAATAAAATACATTAAATAAATAAATTCAGATTAATAAAATAATTAAATAGTTACAATAAATTCTAATTAATTAACGAGTTAAAACAAAATTAAAATTAATTAAATAAAATTTTAAATTAATTAAATAAAATTTGTAATTAATTAAATAAACAAATTAAATTAATTGTTCTTTACAGGAAAAATCTCAACCAAAGCCAAGCCCCCGAACAGCAGTGGCTGCAAGACTTCGATGACAACGACAAAGCCCGCCAGTCCCAGCGTGACCATTACCACGGGACCACGCAAGGACTCCACGGGTGCAACACCAGCAGCAGCATCAGCAGCAGCCACTTCTGCTGCCAAGCAGAGGAAGTAGCGCCAGAGCAGCAGCGGATGCTTGTGCTTCAAGTTCCGCGTTTAACTTTCAATCTTCTTTGGAACACAAAAGATTAAGGAGAAGCAAGGAGCAGACAGCCGCAGGAATTCAATATATATATATATTTAATATAACAAGGGATTGCGTTTTAAACTCCTTTTTCGTCGATGTAAGCTTGCTTTTACACAGCTCTAGCAATGCAAATTAATTAGAGAATTCTTGAAACCCAGTAGCTTGTAGCATGTCAAAACTTAAACCTAAAACATAAAGGAAAATCGCTTGAAAAAAAATACAAATTCTTAGTGTAAATTATAGTAGGCACAAGAGAAAAACGAACACGAAATTCCAGTTCCAAGAGGCACCCACGCAATTATGTACTGTATATAAATGTGAAACATTAATAGAATATTAACGAATTGTGGACTTCGGATGATGAACGGAGTCTGTCTAAGGGAGAATGATGATGAGAAGGAGAGTCATGTGGAGCTCGTGTCTCGTTTATAACATTTTTTGCGAATCTATACACTATGCCGAGAATGCAATATAAAATTCTATATTAAATAAATGTGTTATATATGTGTGTGTGTATTAAAAAAAAAAACGTTTTATATTTGTGGGATGAGGGATTATAGTGAAGGGAATATTTTTAAGTTTTGCAAAAAGGTTTTTTCTAATTTAATTATATTTTCACATTTGAAATTGAAGCTAGAATCTAACTCAAATTAAATTATTTTTCAAAGAAAAGAAAAAATTAGCAATTTTTTCAACATTTTATAAGGGCTTACATCATTCTCAAAAATTCAGAAATAATTTATTTTTTTAAATTTTTAAACTTTATATACTGACTTGTTTAACTAATAAAAACTATCACAGAGCAGCTTTCTGAGCTAAATTTAATTCATTTTTAACTAAGTTATATATTTATTTTTTTTTTTCAGAAATTAGTTATACACTGCAGGAGAGTTATTAGACTTATTTACGTATTTTGATTTACTTACCTTATAAAAACTAACTCAGAACAGCTTTTCGCATTTAAATTAATCATTTTTGGCAATATTTTCCATAAGCCATTAAAATTAATTTAAAAACTAAAATAAATTGAGCTGGATTAGATTTCAGATTAAATTTCCAGAGGCTTACTCATCAATCCCCCTTTGCTCTAAGCCCCTGGCGATAGGTTCAAGGCCAGTGTTATCGCTATCGATAAACATTTTGCCAGCTGTGCAATTGCAATTGCCGCATTTACTTCGTCTTCAATTTGTTTATTTTACGGAAATATGCTGCCCAAACTGAAGATTTCCGCATTCCTCCTCAAGGTAATGTTCCCACAATGTCCTAGATCGAGGATTCCTAATCCGGAGCTCTCCGATTTCAGCGTTTGGAGCGAACAAAGCAGCAGTGCAGCGGCTGTTTGTATGGAGTTTTCTACGGTGACGGGACATTACTCCTTTTGAGTTTCAACATTGAGTCCAGTCTGGGACAGTTGAACTACGAGCAGATCCAGCACAGATTCCCAGCGGAGCTGGATCTCTGTGGATTGGTCAAGTTCGGTGACTGCAGCGATGGCGAGGCGCACCTAAATGAGGTCATCAAATCCGTGGACATCACCGATAATCCCATCCTGTTGCAGTGCGAGCTGGGCACTTTGGTGGGCATGCGGGCCTCGTTCTTTGTGCACGGCAAGCTGGAGGAGGTGCCCTACGAGGTGATGGAGGCCGAGCAGCTGTACAGTGACTTTTGCTTTACTCGGCTGCAGTGCGGCTTCTACCTACAGACAGCACCCACGCCAGAGTCTGTGGCACGGGAGATGCATGTGCTGCGCAAGCGGGTGGCCGATGGCTCGCTGGTTTTTAATGTCCCACAGACCAAGATCTTTATCAGCAGCTGTGGTCCACTGGACACGCGGTTTACTGGTGGTGAATCGCAGATTCAGGATCTTATAGACGCCATTCCCAATCCCGGACAGCCTGAAAAGGAGGCTGACAAGAAGAAATCAGCGAAAGCTGCTACCCCAGTGAAGCACTTGGCTCCCACTGGCTGCGACTACGAGGTGATTCCCATCGACGTGATGCGCACTCGCAGCCGCGATCCCGTGACTCGAAACTCACCGCCGCATCCGGCTCTCAGCATTGCTGTGACCACCGAAGAGCAGACTCGCGTCCAGGTTCCACTGGAGATAGAAGCCATGGCCATACTGTGCAGAAAAACCAAACTTCAGAGGCTGTACGATGTGCTCATCGAGAGCATCTGCCGGGCTTCTCGGTTGTTCGAGTTGAGCCTGATCGAGCACTTAACCGAAACGGAGAGTGGCAAGCTGCTGGTCCCGGTGAGCTATCACTTTTATCCCCAGGAGTTTGGACACTTTGTGAGCTGTGCATATCTCGAGGATCTGGGTGATGACGATCCGAATATGCAGGAGAGACGCAAGCGTCTACACAGACAGTTTGCTCTGCCTGTTAGCCGTCCCTACTTCCGCAGGGCCAACCAGATGCGATTCCTGGATGAGGAGGAGAATGTTCCATGGACACCACTGATGAACACACACATTGGAGTCCGGCCCAGCGGCGTGACCGATGGCAAGGAGTACTTAGTGAATGGAAACTACCACTACTACCACTACCTGCAGCAACAGGTGCAGGATAAGGGTTGGGGCTGCGCCTACCGCTCCCTGCAGACGATCTGCTCCTGGTTCGTGTTGCAGGGCTATACGAATGCACCGATACCGACGCACTTGGAGGTGCAGGAATATCTGCACAAGATCAACGACAAGCCGGCCGCCTTTGTGGGTTCTTCCCAGTGGATTGGCTCCACGGAGATCAGCATGTGTCTGCAGGGATTCTTGAATGTTGACTCGAAGATCCTGCATGTGGCTTCTGGCGCGGAACTGGCCACCGTTGCCTCCGAGCTGGCCATGCACTTCCAGACACAGGGCACGCCCGTAATGATCGGTGGCGGTGTGCTGGCCCACACCATTATCGGCGTTGACTATTGCGTGCAGACGGGTCAGGTGAAGTTCTTGATTCTAGATCCTCACTATACAGGCGCCGATGATCTGGCCACCATTCAGATCAAGGGCTGGTGTGGATGGAAGGGCATGGATTTCTGGACCAAAGGCAGCTACTATAATCTCTGTATGCCTCAAAGACCGATCTTGTATTGAGTTCTGCCTTAGCAAGGAGGGTAATATGTTTCCAATTGCACTCTTAGATGGGATTTTAGGATCCGGTTGATATATGTATGTATACTTTTTAAGAAATATCCCAAGGAGTTCCAGAGCAACTTTTAATAGGTTGAATGTCTCTAATTGAGCAATTTTTATAACGATTTTTCAATAGAAACTTTTTTAGAGCTTTTCGATTTATAGATTGCTTTTTGAGCGGCTTTAATTGTTTAATTGGAATTGCTTAAAATTCAAAAAAATTATATATATTAGTTTTAATTTTTATATAAAAATGATTTGAGCGAAATATTTATTTTTGTATTTAGTTTTATTTTAATTTAAGGGGGTAAGGTTGAAATTTGTTGTAGCTTAATGAATTAAAAAAAGCCCGACTTGAATATCTGTAGAATTAGTTAAAGAAGTTATGGGCCAAATTTCATAACGTTTTGTCCAGTAGTTTTTGAGTTATCGTGGAACTTCTCAGGAGAGAGCTTTGAAATTTGTTGATACTCGTAAATTGAACACCAAACGACTTCTTTTAAACCAAGCATAACTTTGTCAATTTTGCTTTGATCGGTGTGAAACTTTGACATAATATGCTTAAGATATTAAACATTTATAATAAAAAATAAAATACAATTAAATACCCTACTGCCCTCTTAAATATACTTCAACTTCAAACATTTTTTATATAAAAAAAAAGACTCAAGTTTGCATGAAACCCACTTAGAGGGACTTTATTGATCACCTTTTTGGCTCCTGAGGTATTCCTAACCAGTTCAAATTCACACAAATCTAACCAAACTTAAAGTACTAGCTTTAATGTGGTTTTTTAAAGTGTAATTACCTTCCATATTCCTCTCTCTTTTTTAATTACTGCAATAAATTAAATGCTAGCTTATATATAAGACGAAACTACAAACTGTACTCAAGCTTTCATCCCGGATTAGACACCACTCTTTGAGTACTTCTTCCAGTACCGCTTGACATCGTCATGGCCATTCTTCTGGACGACCATGGTGCGCGTTCGTTCGTTCTGCCAGACCAGGACATGGATAGACTGGGCATAGTCGCGCAGCGTTACGAAGTCGGTTTGGGACAGGAACTGATTGTAGACGACGCCCTCCGTGTAGGTAAAACGATTCCGCTCCAATTCCCACAGTTTGATCTGATCAACGACCGTCGGTGGCAGGCAGGATTTCGACTGAATAGCAGACTCCACCAGCCGCATGTTGGGATGTGCATACTGCTCCAAATACGAGACAATCTGCTCCGCTGTGATTCCACCGCGCAACGCCTGACGCACTGAATCACGGGTGAGCACACCCACAACGAGATTAGGGAAGCGGTAAAGAAGCTGCGTGAAAAGACCAAGAACGGCCACCTGGAGCGGGGAATCCGTGTAGGCGTACACACGATAATTGGTCTCCACCACAATGTAGCCAGAGTCCTGTATGCCCTCCTCCGCCTCATTGGTGGCCACAGTAGCGGTGGCTGCTGCCTCCTTGCTGGTCACATTCAAAGCCAAGCGGGTGGGATAGAATCGTCCCTCCTTGCGCTTTCGTTGGAACACCAATCCGAACTCCCTCAGATGCTGCAGAAAGGTCAACATCTGATTGTTCATGCCCTCCGAGCTGTAATCTCTTCCCAAAGTGGAGAAGCTCAGCTGGAACAGCATGGAGAGACACTCCGGCAGGGAGATGCCTCGCTCTTCGCACGTGTCCAAGTACTGGAGCATAAAGTGCCACACCTGAGCCCGTGTGTCCAGCAGCAGGAACTGAAATCCCTGTCTGGTTATGGTGATTCCATCACGATCATCGCGTTTCATCAGGTTGGCATGCAGCAGAATCCTCACAGCATCCGGACTAATGGCCTCGGCATCGGTCCCGTTGCGATTTCCCGTTCCCACCATATAGTGGAGGACGCAGCGCCAGCGAGACATGGCATACGTATCCAGGAAGGCAATGTCCCTGGGCTTGGAGTCCTTCTCCAGTGTGTTGGTCATGGGCCAGGGCTTTCCCCCACCCAGCAGTACTTGGCGCACGCTCTTCTTGAACGTGGGCGACAGTTCCCAGGCGGTGAGGCCGCCAGGAATGGCGGTAACCCGCCAGACGTTCAACGCCGTCAAACAACTGGTGGCCTCCGATTGATCCCTGCAGAAGGATTAGGATTTAGGGGAATTCTTGAAAGCATGGCTGCGAGGGATCGATCTCACTTGGCGAAACGTTGTGCACCCCAGGATGTGACCACCGCCTGTGGCACTGGCTGATCCACGAACAGAATGCGTATGATAAACTGCCTGGCCAGCTCGGGCAGCTCCCGGAAGACGGCCAAGCATATAGGCGGATAATTGTATAGCTTCTCCAGCGTGTCCGGCGTTTGCCGGGTGCGCAGATATTCCTGAAAGTCCTTGCACTCCAGGTTCTCCGGTCCCTGCACCAGGGGCGTGAGGCCACTGGTGCCACTTCCAGTGGCCGCTGCATGCCGTCCAGATTTCGTGTCGGCCATGGCGCACACACCGTCCACAAAATAAATTTGTAAACAAAAGAAGGGAATTTAAGTCTGGTCGACTTTTTCTTGTGCCGGCTGTTTATCGATAGTTTAGAGATGGCCCAAGAGAGTTCGAATTTTATATCGCAGTTATAAAAAATAAATAAAACAATTTAAAAAAATAATAATAAATTATAACCTAACTTAACTTTTTAAAATCATTTATGTTTATATATATAAATTCAAAATTAAACCTACGCTTATAATGTTAACGATAGTTTTCACCTTTCTTCTTCGAATTTCCTACCTATCGATAACAACCCAGCTGTTGCCTGTACACGTGCGCCGTAAACTCATTCGTTTATTATTGTTGAATTTGGCAAAATCTCAAGCTAATTATGAGTGACGATGAGGAGCAATACGATCCCAAGGCACACAAGAAGCTGCTGCAGGCCATCGGCAGTCTGGGCAACGTGCAGCACATCCAGAAGTCAACGCGCGACGAGCGACAGACCCGCCAAGATGAGTTTCAGCTGGTGAAGAGCGTGTCATCCTCGGCTACGGATCGGGCGCCCAGGGCAGTGGGTCTCAACGACTTGGTGCAGATCCTTCGCACCTCCACCAAGCACAGCCAGACGGGCAAGAAGCTGAAAAATGTGCAGAGCAGCAAGAAAGTGCTGGAGAAGCCCCTAGAAAAGCCGGCAGCGGATCGCATTAAGCGTACCATTGGCTACGAGGGAGTGACAAAGAAGCTAGGCCGCTGGGACGCTGTGGTGGCCCAACAGCGATCGGCGGAGACGCAGGTCTTTCCCTTACAGAGTGAAACGATTTACGTAAACACCGCGGCAAATGCCCGAGCCCTGAAAACGAGCTTGAAGTCCGATCTGGCCAAGGAGCTCGAGGCCAGTAATCGCAAGCTACGAGAGCTGCGCAAGGCCCAAATTGGCGACACCACGGATGAGAAGGAGCTGGCCAAAAAGGAGCGCCAACTGTTGCAAAAGAAACTCACCCGCGATGAGCTCTTCGCCCGCCGCAAGGAGTTGGCCTACCTGAAGATGCGCGAGTCCCAGAAGTCGGCCAAAGAGCGCATGCAGAACAAAATCAAGTCCAAGAAGTACCACAAGCTGCAGAAGCGCCAAAAGATGCTGGAGCAGATGAAGGAGTTCGAGCTTCTGCAGAAAACAAACCCAGAGGCGGCCCTCGAAAAGCTAAATGCTCTAGAGAAGAGTCGTGTGCAGGAGCGGGCCAGCTTGCGACACAAAAACACTGGAACCTGGGCCAAGAATCTCCAGGTTCGAGCCAAATACGACAAGGATGTGCGTAAGGATCTGGCCGAGCAATTGGCGGTTAGCAGGGAGCTGACACAGAAGAAGCAGGAGTCTGACAGCGAGGATGAGTCGAGCAGGAAAAGAGCGGCTCTGGAAGAGGAGAATCAGGAGGACTACGACCCCTTCAATCCCTGGACAAAGCGAAAGTCGGCGGATAACAAGGAAGGCAACGAAAACGCTGAAGGTGAAGGCGAAAATTGGCGGCAATATTGGTCAAAGCGGAATCACAATGAAAAGTTATTAGAAGAGCATCGTAGGGATATGGAGGAGGAGGAGGAAAGTGAAGATCAAGAGGAGGAAAAACCGATCGCCAAGCCTGCTAAGAAAACTCTTAAAAAATCAAAGGTTAAAATGCAAAATGGCTGGACAGTCGAAGAAGTGGAACCAAGTGTCGCCCCTAAAAGCCAAGTGAAAGCACCACCCCAAAGCCTTGATGACATTTTCGAAAAACACGACGATCAGATGAGGGCCAAGCTAACCAAGAAGCTGGAGAAGCTGAAGCAAAGGGTAGACAAGCTCAAGGCAGCTCCCGCTAAGAGTAAAAAGGCCAAAAAGATAAAGGATGCCCTAAAAAACCTGAAAGATTTGGAACTGAAAAAGACCAAGCAGCGGGTGGAGATCGATGAGCCTTTGAATTACGGGAACGAGCAGGAGGAGCCGTCTCAGAAAATCCCTCCCCCCGTTGAGGAAAGTAAGGAGACCCCACCACTAATAGTAGACACTGTAGATCCCAACAAGGTAACCACTCTGGTGTTTACTCAAAAGAAAACCAGTCGCTCGGCAGGTGGCATAGGCGATGCTCTGATGGACGATGATGCGGCGGACTATGATGATGAAGATGACGCAGCGGCTGCCGAACATCAACTGACTGTTAGTCAGGCCTTCGAGGATGATGACATTGTGGCCGACTTTAATCGGGACAAAAACAAGGACTCTGAGCTAAAGAACACTGAGCTGCAGCTGTTCATGCCTGGATGGGGTTCCTGGGCTGGTGCCGGCATATCCCAGGAGGCGGTGGAGCAGCGAAATAAGCGGCTCCTCCTGAAGCTAGCGGAGCCGGAGAAGCGACGCGACGACAACAAGGACAACCTCTATGTGAACGAGGCCAGCTGCAAGAAGGCACGCGAGCACAAGGTCTCCAGTCTACCATTTCCCTTCCGATCCCTGGCCGACTACGAAGCCAGTATCCGGGCGCCGATTGGCCGGAACTTTGTCCCGGAAACGGCCTTCCGGATGCTAACGCGACCCTCGGTCATTACCCGCAAGGGCCAGGTCATTGAGCCTATGGACGAAAGCGAGCTGGTCAAGCCGAACAGGCGTTTGCGGCACATTGTGGACAAGAGGATACAGCGCATACCAGTAGTGCCGGCCAAGGAGGCGAAAGCTAAGAACTAGGAAAGTAAATACGGAAATAAATTTCTTTAAAATTTGAAAAAATATTTTTTTAATTAAAAGGAAAGTAAAAAATCTTTGAAGATTATATTCTGAAGATTAAAAATAACGGGAGATGTGGAAAATTGCATTTAAGTTTGAATATCTTTACGTTTTGTCCAACCCGTTTTCGAAGTTCGAAATTCGAACTAGAACCCCTGCTATCGCATGCAATGATCGATATATCGATAAAATTTCTAGTAATCGACAGGTTGCAATCGCAAGCACATTTTGCTTTTGCTAAAATAAATCCATAAACTTTGTGACTTCTTGGATAAGCCTTCGCTGGGGAAATGTACGAACTGAAGACCCTGCTGCCCCAATTCGACATTAAGCTGCCCACCTGCATGTACGCCCTGAAGAACGTGAGCCTGGCGGCGGATGCCCTGGCAACACCTGCGTCCACATCATCGTCATCAACATGCGTAAGTGAACTTGGAATATTGCCGCCTGGCCAGGTGAATCGCTGGCTAAAGAGAGTAAACATCGTATATCAACATCAACGCCATCCCATATTCCATTCCCGCATGTGTGTGATCTTGGCCAGAGATGGGAGGAGAGCAGCAGCAGCAGAAGCCACAAAACAAACGGGAGCGGGAAGGCAGCAGCCACATGCGCACTCGATTTGGACACTTTAGGCCGACAAATACAACAACTGCTAAAGGTTAAGACCACCAAACAACAACAAGAACCCACTACTAAATACGAAATTCTATTTATAAAAACATCGACTAACCAAAAAAGAAAACAAATGCATATGAATATCCACGCTCCGTTTTGTGTGTTGCTTGCTGTGTTCTCGAGTGGTCCAAGTGACCTTGAACAGCCGTTAAAGACAAATCCTTTTTCCTTTTTAACTTGCAGAATGACACGGCAACGGTGGCCGCCCGCCAGGAGAAGGTGCTGCAGCAGCTGGAGGAGCTCAAGGCCCAGCTGGGACAGATCAGGGCCGGTCTGGGAGTGTGTGGCAAGACCTACCAGCATACGACGGCCTTCCAAAATGGTGGATTAAAAGAGGTAGGGAGGGAATGCCTTAATCTATATTTATTTATTATATTTGTTTATTTATTTTTATTATAGATTCCACTGCAGGACGTTGTGATCAATGGACATCCCAATTTCATACCTTATGCCCTGTTGGCCTTGAAGAATGCCTGGCGGGATCTGTACACAATTGATGTCAAGACCTTCACGCACTCCACGATGGCCGATATTGGCCCAGCAGCCCGGGAGTTTGAGGCCAATTTGGCTAAGGTCCCCGTCAATCCGGCTCTGCCCAAGATAAATGTGACGCTTATCTGGAAGAACTGTAAGGGAAATTATTGATATAATTTGTAAGATTTTAATTGTAACTTTTCGTTATTACAGGCGAACACACTGAAATGATCAGCTCACCAACCATGTACGTTCCCATTTACGGCGAAGTGAACATCATCCGCTATTTGGGTCGCGTTGGTCCTGCCGAATATCGCTACGAGGGCTCTGCCTTGTGCAATGAGATCGATCTCGTTTTGGACATATGCTATCAGCTTTTGCGCTGCAACACGCACAAAACGCAAGTGGCAATGGTGCGGCTGCTGGACAAGCGACTGCAACAGCAGCAGTATTTCGGCGGCAGTCAAATGTCAGTGGCCGATATTGGAGTCTATAGCTCGCTGATACGAATGCCGGCCATCACGGACAAGGATTTGACGCCAGCGCTGCTGGCCTGGCGCAAGCGAGCAAAGCTCGTGGCACAAATTTAAGTTGAAAAGAATCGAACAAAATAAATTAAAGAAGTGCTTGAATGGTATAAAAGCTTATTATTTCAAGAGTTGTGAGCAGTTATTTATTGATTTTATATTTCAGAATCAAATCGCAAGTAAGAGTAATGAGTAAAATAAAAATTAAGCTGAACGATGAACAAATTTTGTAAATTCCCCCCGAATATATATTTAAAAGGCCCTCTAGTTTTTCCGTAATTTTATTTGGCTTATTTATCTTTGTTGCAAACTCTGTTCTGTTTTATACAATGCTCGGTTCTTTCGTAATTATATTGCAATTATTGGTTTCTCTTTAACTTACACTCTTTGTGAATTTTGCACTTAAAAATGTCTTAATGGCTAGGTTTTTATATTTTATTCTTGAAATCCATTGATTGTTCTCTATGTGGGTTTTTGGATGAACGATGATGAACTTCTCTCAGCGCGAACGATAGGATTTTGTAGTGTTTTTTCGCTCATATAAATGGGTGTCATATATAGTATATTCTTTTAATATTAATTTATACCTAGTACATATTCTGCATATATATATATCATGTATATGGTTAATCAGTTTCTATTTCATTATTAGCTGCGTAAAAAGGGGAAACGGACAAGTCCCTGAACTCTATTAATTGCTTTTAGCTTATACGACATAAAATTGTTTAAAAGATTGGAACCATAGCATATCTACCCTCCAGAAAAACAAACAAAACTATTGCCGTAGAAACTACATTGGTAAATAATTCGATTTCTCAGTTGTTCGGTTTTTAGTTGTTTAAACATGTATAATTAGCATTAATCATAATAATAATAATAATGTTGGAGAAATGAAAAGGCAGGTTTTGTGGGAGGAGAAGGAGGAAGAAGAAATGATGATCGGATCTCGTCTTGGCTGCATTATGTGGTCTCGCCCTTGCCGCTATCATCAGCCGACTCGGCGTCGGCCGCCTCCCTGCCCAGCAGACCGTTGTTGTTATTCTTGTTCTTGCACTTATTTTTGCTTATCGAAGCCGTGGCACTATCCTCATCGTCGTCTTCCTCCTCATCATCCTCGTCATCGTCATCATCCTCATCGAAATCATCATCATCGTCGTCTGTGGGCAGATCGTCCTCCGTCTCCAGATCGAAATCATCATCATAAAAGTTGGCATCCAGGCCAGAATCTGTTGCGGGCTTGCGCGTGGGCTTCAGGCAATAATCCTCCAAGGTCATGGGCACCACAATGCCCTCACGCTTGGCCTCGGCATTGGCAGCCAGGGCCTGTTTGCGTATGATGTTTGGATACTCATTATCCTGGCCCTGAAATTAGTAAATCCTTATTAAAAAGCCAAAAAAGGGAGGGTGTAAATGTCCAGTATGCGGACTTCTGGTTAAGATTTATATAAATTCAAGCAAATCATTCGGCATTCTCTACTTTATTTCAATACCAGTGGCTCAAGCCCGCATACTAGACACTTACTAACAGCCAGAAGATGCAGTCTCACCTGTGAATCTCGCCACCGACGATACATGACCGACGCATCCACATTTGCCGGCGAAAATGTGTTGGGCTCGTTGAGTAGCGATATAACCGACAGCAGGATGGTGCGCACATTCTGCGTGGGATTCCAGCGCTCGCAGGGCAGCTCACCGCTCTGCGGATCATCCACCGGCGGATGCAATATGGATATGCACAGATCCCCATTCTCGTAGACATTCGGATGCCAGACCTTCGTTAGGAAGCGGATGGATGGCGGTGAGTAGGGATAGTCGTGGGGGAACTTCATGTGCGCCTTGAAGTAGCCGCCCTGGTAGAGAGTGTCTGGTGGGCCAAATATGGCCACCTCCCACTCGAATAGGTTGTCGTCATTGATCAACTTGACGCGGAATCCCTCCACCGGCTCCTCCTGGAGCGACTTGTACTCCATGGCCAGGGCTCGCACCGCGGAGCTGCTCGGCGTGCTACTTGGGGCGGACGATGAGGTGGAAGAGGTGGTAGCCAGGGAGCCCGATACCGCTCCAGAGCCGGCCATCATCGTTGCGGTGGACGCATGCTGCGATGTGGAGGCGGCGGTGGCCATTTGTTCAACCAGTTGCAGTCTTCCTCGCGGTCTGTCGAAGCAAAACATATCGGTGTAAGGGATTAAAACGGAACTATGCGCTATGTTTGCGGCTATATGGCATTTGGTGTGTGTGTGCGTGTGTGTGAGCGCGAGCAGGGTCAATATCTTGCTGCTGCTGGTGAATTCAAGGTGAGCACGTCGTCGTCGCAACACTCACACGGCGCGATGACTGTGTACCAATTCGGGGGGAAAAATTGCGGAAAATTTCGTCTCGAAAAACTGGCCAAGTTTGGAGGAAAATACAACATATACACATATGTATATTTGTTGATGGAAAAGGGAAACTATTTCTGCACTCTTGACGTTTACTGTTGTTCTTGTTATTCCTGTCACGACAGACGAGCGCGGAGAGGGGAAATGTGTGTGGAAAAGCGATTGCAGACTAGCACCACCGCCTGCCGCGCATATACGTACTTGTTTTGAGATTACTTTGCGATTTAATAGGCGTTTTTAAAGCCTTTTGTTATTGTTGTGTTTGACTTGCAACAATTTCACTCTTTACAAAAAAAACAAAGACCAGGGTTATGGGATTAGTGTGACCAGGGTTGGCGGTGCCGTTTGTCTTGTCAAATTATGGCGGAGATTTAAGAAAACTTATTCTAATTAAAAGAAAACAAATCGTTAGTTTGGGGGTTTTTTATGAAGTTTTCCCTTGGAAATTGTGTTGCTACGATCAAAGTGGTCATTCCACGAAATCCCAAAAGATATCGACAATCTTCGATAGCCTTCTTATCAATGGGTTCAAGTCCGCGCTAAATACTTTCGTGCGCGATATTTCATCGATGTTTTCCTTACAAAATCGGAAATTCTTATTCGATATATCGATACTTTTATGCATTTCTCACATCTCTCGCAAAATATTCTGTTGCTCTCAAAAATCTGTTAACAGCAAAATTTACGCTCTATTCTGTGATCGAGAGCATTTCTATGTTAACAAACGTTCTCTCTCTACATTTTAACATTCTACATGAAAATTCGACCCCAAACTAATGTTAACTAACAAATTTGACACTGTTATTCTGTAAGCTTGGAAAACTTTGTTTTGACATTTTAACATTTTGCTTTGAAATTCAGAGTGACCAAGGAAAACGTATCAAATAATATCAAACAAAAATATCGCGATATAAATATATAATTTTTCGAAAAATATCGATATATTGATATTTTGATATTATCAACAACTAAATCACATCCCTAGTGCACAGTTTATTAACTCTCGCGAATAACACAACTAATTTAACTAAAAGCAAACCGAACGTCGACAGCGAACGCGAGCGCCGCGGACTTGTGAAACCGGGCAAGATGTAAGAGTGTCGCGTTTAATTGAAAGCAACCCACAGAATCGAGAGAGAGGCGTTGGCCAAAGAAGAAGCCGAGAAACGGAAGACGGAAAAAGCGAATAGCGAGAAGAGAGACAGCTGAAAAAATGCATACAGGAGTGGTCGCGACTCGCGAGTAGCAAATCGAGTTAAATCGCTAAGTTTGATTGCAGCAGGCCAAACAAGTGTTTCGTTTCCGTTCAGAGTGTAAAAGCTAGCTAGCAAAACTCAAACAACGCCCAAGGAGCCAAATAGAAAAAAAACCAGCGAACAAGAGGAAGCAGACGCGAAGCTGCGTTTTGTTGATTTTAATTCTCCTGTGTGTGTGTGTGTTTGTGGCGAAAAAAGCATTTTCCAGAGAGCGAGTGGGAGATCGGGAGAGTGGGCAACTATCATTCCAGGCAAAGTGAACATGCTTTTGGCCAGAAAAAACCATAAATCTGTTGAGCCGAGCACATTTTTCCCGTGAAAAACTCGCATACATACACACGCGCGCACGCACGCACGCACTCACGCAGGCACGAAGGCAGGCAGCAGCCAGCCAGGAAAAACCAAGCAAACGCAAACACTCGTAGGGGGAGAGAGCGAGAGAGAAGCGTACGCGAAAATCATCATGTCCAGCTGGGCTGAACGCGTCCACAGGCGTGCCGCCGATCTGGGCAACGTGGTCACATCCTGCGGCCATCCGGCCACCGCCCCCGCCTATCCGTACCGCCTGGAGAAGGTCAAGTTCGGGGTGCCGCTGGAGGAGGTGTGCAAGCACAACAACAACATTCCAGGACCCTTGCTCGTCCTCATTCTGAAGCTGAACAAGGAGTCGCCGAATCGGCGCGATGTATTCCGCGCCCCCGGCCACCAGGGCACCATGAAGAAGCTCATACACTTCCTGCAGGCGGGCCGCTTGGTGAACGTCGACAACTATTCGGTCTTCACCATTGCCAGCGTCCTGAAGAAGTTCCTTCGCAAAATACCCAATGGAATATTCGGGCGCAGCGGCGAAATGGAGCTGTTTGCCATCAACGATCTGCAGAATGAATCGGAGCAGACGGAGCGCCTGCACAGGTGAGTGGCAAACGAGGGATTGGGGTGGGAGTGGCCCACGGCGCACTAAGCGACAGTGCAGGTTAGGGAAATAGTGTGGGATTTAGGTGTGGTAAATTCTATAATTTAAAAAATACCATTTAGAATTCTGATAAAAAACAATTTAAATTGTGGTTAAACTAAAAAAAAAACTTTCAATAACTTGGAAGTTGTATTATGAATAGATTCTTAAATTTCTAAAGATAGTGGTTCTAATAGGATCTTCAGTCCAAATCATTACATTGGCCATAAAGCCTTACCAAAATCATAAATTTAGATGTTAACAACTCGCAGACGGGCAACTCCTTATGCGTTGGGGGAACATTAGTATTCTACTCCACGGCCAAAGACACTTAATTTGCCTGGGGATTACATGAAATTCATTCATTTTAACTACTATTATTTCAACCGCAACTGTGGGTCTTATATATGTTTGTGTGTTTGCTAGTGTAACTACATAGCTTGCGGTAAACTTGCTGAACCGGATCTATAGATGTAGATTCGGTAGATGCAGCACAGCAGTCTCAAGAATCTTCAGGGGGAGTTAATTCACTGGAAAGCCTGCCTCTTACACGTATATGTTGTTTTCATAGTTCGCGCTCTTCTAGTTTTTTCTCTTGTTATTGTTGTTTGCCTTTTCGGGTAAATGTTGTTGTTTTTGTTGCCTGGCACTTGTTGACACATTTGTGTGGATTTTCACTAATTTTCACTTGAGCGTTAAGCGTTCGCTTAACCCTTAGATGTGTCTGCCAATTTACATAATTTGTGCGCTCAGCGAAAAAAAAAAAAAAAAACAAGCGGCAAATGTTTGGTTTTATAATAAACAGTAAAGCATACAAATATTGAACTACAGGTGAAAATTGTCTGTGGGATTTTCTGAAAAGCTTAGAAAAACTATAGATTATTTTGTTGTCAAGATATTTGTTATAAAAATCTGTTTTTAAGGGGATTTAAAAATATATTTAAATATTAAATTACCGTGAGAAGTTTGTCTTTAAGTCAATTGTAATTGTTTAATTAGATTTTAATTATTTTTGCTTGTATAGAATTGTGACTGTATTCAATTTATTCTGATTTTCGCTGATTCACTGCTCAGCCTTGTATGGGTTTTAAGAAGAAACTCGGCGGCAAGTGTAAATAGAGACCGTTGAAAGGGTTAAGCTTGGATTTTCGGTTCGCTTTCGGTTAGCTGTAGTCTTTGCCGTTGTTGTTGTTGTCTCTAGTTGGGGCAATCGATTTCTAACCATCTGAATTAGAGCATAAAGCGTGGGCTAACACACATAGCTCAAAGCACACAGACATGGCCAAAGACAAAGACCAGCCAACGCAGGTCCAATTAAAAGTAAACGAAATATTCGTTGCTGCAATTCGCAATTGTTTCGTCTTCTTTTTATTTCACAAAAAGTGAGCGGGCTTGCAAATAATTAACAAATCGGACATTTAGAGCCGATGATCAATTGCGATTGACAGCCAGAAATGATTTGTCTGTTCTGGGGGCTCCTTCCTTCTGGCGTTTAATTTGCTTAATTTGTTAAACATTCGACTGATTGAGATGGATGCGGCACCGGATTGGTTTGCGATGCTGATACTGCGTCAGCAGATCCGATCCGTTTGGATCAGAACAAGTCCATTGGTTACATTAAATGCCGAACATTGCCTGCTAAATGCTAAATGTGCGTGTAAACAAATAACGTCAGCAATAAAACATAAATTTAAAACTTCTGCATGCGTAGAAATCGACCGCCAAATTATTTTCATTTCGCGGGGTGGCTGGGGCACGGAGCTCTTCGTTTTTCAGTTTGGCAACCTGTGCGTATGCGTACAGAGGCGGTGAAAATAATAGTGTTTATTTTGAAAAATAATAATAATTATAATGATTTACTTTAATTAAAAAAATAAATTTCTTCAGCTATGTAATAAAAGTAAGATAATAATACATATGATAATATGAAATGATACATATCATAATAATACATATAAGGGTTCTTCGCTGGATACTGGAAATATCCTTAAAAATTTGTATTTTATTTATTTATTATTTTTTTTTTAAATTAGTATCTAAAATATATAGTTTTTCTTTTAATTTTAAAACCTCCTAACCTCTTGATCACGACTGTAAGTGTGTGTAAACATTTTCAAACTTGTACAATTATATACACACATTTGTTGTAATTGTTGCTCCCGTTGGCTCCTCTTTTGTTTATTTACCTTTCGGGGCAGGCACAAAAACAACAACAACAACAGCTACGGCCACAGCTACAACTACAAGCACATTGGGCAATCACAATCGAATCAAACCAAAATGCGCGAAAATAGCGCCACAGCCGTCACACCAAGCAAGCTCCAAGCAACCAACCAACCAACACACACACGCACACACCTTTAAAAATAGACACGCGTTGGAAACTTTGTATCAATTAAAACGTAAACGCTGAAAAGAGAAAGGTGGCGGAGAGGGGGCTGGCTGGCTGTATATCGTATCTTTTCCCCTCTCTGTTTCTTACTCGCTGCTCACATCAGTTGGCACATCGTTTGTGTGTGTTTTTATTCCAGCTGTGTTTTTTTTTTTGTTTCTTTCCAATTTCTTGTTGTTATTGCAGCTCATCGACGTCATTGTTGCACGTTTTTGCAATAGACCAAAAATACAAATGAATTGTATATTGTTTTTATCGCCGTTTACTTTTGCCTTGTGTAAATTACAAGCACACAGCAAGAAAGCGAAAAAAGTGGCAAAGGCAATCAAGAAAGCAAAGCAAAGCAGCTGCCAAAAGAGAGTGTGAAGCGCTTTCTCTCGCACTTGGCCTCACTCTCTAACTCTACCTTGCACTCTCTCTCTCTATGTCTTTGGTTCGTCCTGTTATTCGCAACTTGTTGCCTGGCCAAGAGAAAAGCTTTCGCAAGCTTTTTCCAACGCCTGTTGCTCTTTTTAGGTGTGAATTTGTTAATTGTTTCATCTTTCTATTTGTACAGTTGAAAATCTTTAGTTTAAGCTGCCATTATAATGTCATCTCTAGAACTTTTTCACCCATTAAGCTGCAGTTTATTAATATGTATTTAATTGTAAGCCACTGTTAACCACAAGAATGTCCATTATACTAACTGAAGATTAAAGTACAAGGAGCTGTTAAACACACAATGCGCAGTTAAAATAAATATAATGTATATATTTTTCGATATAGTCAATAAAAAGGGCCTGTCTTCTAGCTAATTAGAAAATACATTAAAAAACCGGTTCCAAATAATTATACATATGTATTTCCTCAGAAACATTTGAATCTTTGTTAGCTTCGAGTTTTTTCTAGAATTTGTGGAGGATTTTTTTTTATCAGACATCACTGGCTACATTTAGATGTGAGTCACCCATCACGTGAGGTTTGTAGTTGTTTACATATTCCGCCTTCTTGTACGTCATCAATAGCTCCCGATAAGGATTTAGTACTCCCAATGGAGTAATTCTCTGGACAATTATTTTGAAATATTTTTATGGGTACTGATCCCTGGGGGAATATGAAGTACAATAAGTAATCTGTATTTCTTTTGGGAATTTTGTTTTGCTAAAAGCATAGCAAACCTCGATCTGACGTTACTTTTTCTGATCCTGTTGTGATCAGCTGCCTTTTACCAGCTGTCCTCTCTCACTCTCCCCCCTTTCCATACTTTCTTCAGTTGCCCTTTTTCCTAGTCTTCATCAATTATGCACACTTCGTCCTCATATTCTTCATCGTTGGCCATAGTTAATAGGCTATTTACACAATTGCCTGCTGGACAATTGTTAATGGCAGGGAATACTGATAAGTGCAAAAAGAGACAGGGACAGGGAGAAACACGAAGAAAAGTAGGAAAATTTGCCCGCTTTTGTTGTTCTTGTTGCTGTTGGTTTAGACAAACAAATGGCAAAAACTGCACTGCCAACAACAACAATAACACTAACAAATACTAAGGGAGACTACGATAAAGCCGCATTGTCCCAAATGGCATTAACAAAAGACAACGTTCTTGTCTACATGTCCATAAGTCCATAAGCCGTCATCGTCATCAGACGTCTGGAAGGGCACCACCTTTTGCTCCTCCCCTGCCTCTGTTCTGACTGAGGTTCGCTTCCTGATTATTGTAATATATTGTTATTCAGATGCATTGTTTTCCCTTAGTTATCGGATTTTTCTGTTCGATTTACCTATATATATTTACCCAACTGAGGCCACAAAATGATGTATCACTAAACTGCAGTTTTTGAAGTTTTTAGATTTTATAGGTTTCTAAGAACAATTTCGAGGATAAATAGCATTTAAATAGACTTAACTTTTGTCTTAATGGCAACCTTGATGGGTTCACTAATCGCTTTTATTTCAGCGGTTGCCACCTCATCAGGAGTTTGAGTTTTCCATTCGACTTTGACTGCATAAATATAAACTCGAAACTGACGCCGCCGTGTGTATAAACAACAATGCCAAACAAAACCAATAAATGTTAAATAAAGCGAGCGAAAAAAATGGACTTATAAACATGCTAAAAGCGTGGAAATTTACGTCAGTGGAGCGTCGTCTTTTCTTCCCTTTTTTCCCCCCCCTTCTCAAGGGTTCTCTTGGTTTAACAATTTTCCTTTAAAAAAAAAGAGCCCTGAACGTTGGACCGATGAACGATGAGCAACTGGACTGTAGAGACGCAGTCACTAAAAACATATGGCGGATATACACTAGCCACCAGGGAATCAGTTCTCTTTTTTTTGGGGTCAAGCAACTTTATTAATTTTATTTATTTTTTTAGCTTTCACCATGCTTGCAAAAGATATAAACATGAATGCGTCAACAGGGTTTTAAAGGGAAATAAACAATTTATAAATACAATTTAATCTTGTAAATATTTAGTTATATAATTTATTTAAATTTTAATCTTAATTTTTATATATTAAATATTTCAATGTTTTCTTATAAATGGACCTTTGTAACCCTACGAAATACCCAAGTTCTTGGTTCTAAAAATTGGGTCTAGCATTCATTATCTGATTTCTATGATTGATGGCCTAGTAGATAGAAAACAAACAAAACAATCGGTTGTGGAGTGTAATCAGGGCATTGTCGTCGTCGACGTTGGCTTTGGTTTGGTGGCTTGGCTGGTGGGTCATTTAGTCGTCATCCATCCAGCACATATCGTGATGTCTGCACTTAGTATACGTATGCTGAAAACGGCTTTTTATTATCGTGCATTTGTATTGCTTTTGCTGGGTTCATTATTATGACGTATTGTCTTTTGTATTGTGCCGACGACCAACTACAATTGTCAGTAAGATAAAAAAGACTTGCTGCTGTGGTTATTTCTTTTTTTTTTTTTTTTTTTTTTTTTTGCATGTGTTGAACGGAACACAAAGGCTGTGGCTTCCACTTCTTCCCCAGCGATCTTCCAACTGAATCTCTGTCATCTTTAATTTGTACACAGAGCATTTTTTTTTGTATAAGAATTATATAAAATTTAAAAAAAATCACCAGTTATTCTCTCATCTTACGATAAAGCTGAGTATTTAAAAACTTTCCGGAATATTTCCACTTAATCAGTTAAATAATTTCCAAGTAATTTCATAAAAAGGAAATCCAGACAGAAATCCAAAGGTTATTAAACTGTAATAGCATAAATTCCCAAAAGAGTCGGGGGAAAAATTACCCAAGTTAAATGGTTTTAGGTAAAAATAATAATTTATTTATCAAAAATACATGAAACCAAATATTTTTTTATGGTGCATCTGAAGAAGATGCAGATTGAGCTCGCTACAATGAATATTGATGCTGATTTTGCAGTGCTGAGAAAAAAACAACAGAAGCTTGAAGATATAAGAGATATGAGCAGTGCGCATAATTATAAAAACTGACCGATCCGGCAGTCAACTGCTTAGTAGGCAAAAAATGTGCCCGATGCGATAAGAGTTGCCGGCAGCCAGTCGCAAATGATGCACAAAACACATTCCTCAGAGACGCACACACAACACACACAACACACACAACACATACAACACACACAACACACACAACACATACAACACACACAACACACACAACACACACAACCCACACACTATCCTCTTCATTTTCCTAGGCCCAAGTGATGCGTAATTTTCTCAACAATACATGGAGTATCATTAAGTTATTTGCTTATGACCTAATGTAAATGAATCATTTAGAGCGGCGACCACATCAATTGAACCACCCACCACATGTATTGTTAATTTTATTGGCATTCACCCGATTACATTGCACATTATACATCTTTATATATATGTAAAAGAATTGACCGACATTCATTATGTCTTGTCTGTTATCTGAAATGATGTGTAAAGTGTTTTCTACTTCAGAAGCTTTGTTGGTTTCTTCCGGTTAAAAGACATATTTCTGGATTTATTTTTCTTTAATTAAAATATGAGTTATATAGCTTATATTAATATTCTATGAAAGCTAGATTATTTAAATTAAGCTTACTTAATAAGACATTTATCATTAAATTTCCCTTGGTTTTCACAGAATATGGTTCTCTTCAAGATTGATTATAAATCACAATTCCGGAACCTTTCTATATTCCTCAGTAAAGCCTTTGAATAATTCTATATTTATAACGTATCAGTCAGTTGAATTCCATAAAATATATATTATGCAGCCATATAGCTTTTCCTGAATATATATGTATTTGTATATCTCAATGCAAGCGTCTCTTGTAACGCAAGGAAACTCAATTATCTCGTGTATGATATTTCACTTATCACTTGCACAGACCTCGCCACTCTTGACAAGACGGCATAATTCACTCACTTGACTTGACTCACACACAAACTCAGACCCAGAAGAAAGAGTCTCTGAAGCCGGGGAGGGAGATCAGATCTCCTCCTCGAAAGTGTCACAGTAGAGTTGGTGGGAATATCGGGGAACTGGTTTCTCTGTAGGGCAGAGAGCTTTATTATTGTCTGCATCTTTCAAGACACATCTTCTTTTCCATCTCATACGTAACGCACTGAAAAAATATTGTGATAAAATACTGTTACAAAAGCAAATCAAATGCGGCGAAAAACAAACAAAACGGCTGTGGAGATGCGAATAAAAAACTGTCCGACATTATTCATTTTTATGAATGAAAATAAACCAAGTTAACAATAAATGAAAATGATTCATCTAAATAAAATGACGCGTTGTCTCTGTGTCTGTCTGTCAATGAACAATACGCAGAAGCTACGCATGGTAAATATTAAAATCGGAAACTATTTAGCGTTGATTCGAGGAAATATACATACAAGCTATATATGCTAATGTCTATGCCGGTGTTTTTATTGTCTTTTGTTTTGTGGCTCTTTTTATTTGGCCTATTGATTATGTAAATGAGAGTGCCGAATAAAATAGGACTGATACTGCGACGCATGCGCAACGTGATTATATAAGGCGAGGAGATCCACAGACCCTAATGGTACCCATCAATCACAGAAGTAAAGGTAAAAAGGTAAAAATCATCAAATGATAAAGTAAACAATAAAGCACAATTACTCATGCCATTAGGGTCTTTTTTTTTTTTTTTGTGCCCTCAGTAGGGATTGTAGGGTTCGGAAACTTGGTTGATATAGTATGTTATATTGAGCTTATCTCTCCAATATCAACAGACGTAAACACTTGTTCCGCTTTCAGTTATTGTTGCCGGCTGTGGTTGCTGCGGTCGTTGTTTATACATACATATATATATATTTTTTCAACAGCATTCCGCGTAATTAATGCAATTAATAAACGATTTGTACGCATTCCACTTTATGGGCGTCAACGACAACAATTCCAGCAAAAACAAGGCAATCTAAGTGTAATGATAATCGTTATCAGTTAACATTTTAGGCAAGAGTTCGAGGTGATCATTAGCTTTTCCCCCCCGTTATAACCGATTATGCTGCTGGCCTCCAGGAAGTTCAAACATTTGGCCTGAAGAAGCCGCAACATGTGTAGTTAAAAATTGGTATCGATAAGATAAGAAATCATCCTTGTTTTATTTTTACTTTTTGTAGAAACCACTTTCAGGCGGCACGTTTTTCCAGTTTTTTTTATTTACAATGCAATGCTTGGCTGATTAGGGTTCACTATAGTATAGTTTACTATATAGTGTTTGTTTGGCTTGGGTTGGGTCTGGGTCTGGGTCTGGGTCTGGGTCTGAGCCTGGAACTGGTGGCATTGCTTAGGTTGTTCACATTAATACCTTATTGACTCACTTGCGGTCGAGCAAACAAATTGAGAAATATCAATGAACTAATGAACCTGGGAACCTTGACCAATGGTAACCCATCACAGTTTTACGGATATGACTTTAAATAAAGGGAGTGTCTTTGATAAAAGGAATTTATGTGGGAGGAGCAATGAATAAATATTCATGCAATTTATTATTCACACAAAAACGATTCTTAAGAAATACAAACATGTATGTATTGTAGAGAGTTTATAATGTTTTCGAAATAAGCTTTCCATCTTGTTCATTAATTTAAAATACAGTTAGAAACTCTTGTTTACCCTAGACTATTTTAATTAAAGGCATCATTAGGTATTCCAAGAAGAGTCTTCTCCCCATCTGGGTCTAAGTTTTCTCCAACATATTGTAGACCTACGTCTCTTGTCTGAGTAATTTAAAGCATTTAAGGTTCCCACCTCTCACTTGGCCAGTTTTGGATTTCTCCATTTGTGACAGTTCATGCGGGTTCCATCATCGTAAAGTTTTATTTTCTGTTGGCTTTCAGTTGTCGATTCAATTAACTGGAATCCATCATTCCGTACACTTGAGATTTCCCAATATTTTCCTCGCTTGTAAACCTTTTCCCCCCCTCTGAGATATTCCTTCTAAATGCTACAATTATCGGGCTAAGCCGACATCGTGTCACTCGTTAGTCTGTTTTCCTTTCTTCTCGGGCAGTTCACACCACCAGCAGATCGGTGGTCGCTCCATGTCTTATAGTATAGTTCATTGTCAAGCGATTTGAGCCCCTTCCCCCCAACTCCTCCATTTATTGTTGGATCTTGAAGTTTTCACTTTTAAAGCGCCAGCTTTGGGAGAGATGCCGAGTAGAGGAGAGTGTGGTGTTGCTTTTAAAGCATTAATTGATTGAGTCGAGTTTTTATTTTTCTTTTTCTTTTGGATAGCTCCTCGCCTGGCTTGGCTTGTCTTGTCTTGGCTTTGGTTTTGGTTTTGGTTTGCTACCTCTATCAAGTTGTGTAATGTGTGGACGCTTAGGAGGAGGTTGCCAACCAGTTTTTCTTCTTCCCCGGCCAAAGTCACCAAAGCACCGGGCAGCTGCAGCTGGAGCCCGGGACCGGGCCCGGGCTAAACCATTTGTTTCGAAAAATCATTAGGCACGCCAAAATGAAAGTGTAAACAGACCCAGACATACACTATATAGAGACATTGCCTTCGAGGAGCTTCAGGTCTGACTTTCTTTGGCCAGGCAATGATTTTTATGGCCAACAAACGGCAGTAGTTCAGTCAAGAATGAGTCAGTGCGCTTCTGTAATAATAAGTAATACGGAAAGTGTTGTATGACTAACAATTTGCCCTGCCAGCTCAATGCGTCCAAAAGCCATTCATTTCTATGATAACAGATCTCGAAACAAATATTTACGAAATCTACAATCAACCTTAGATTATGCCGGTTGCACTTTGGGAAATTTATGTTCTAAATTTATTAAAATTTTAAGAATATAAAAATGTTCTTTAATAAATATACAGCTTTAAAATGAATATAAATTTAAATTTAATTAGAAAAAGTTTCTCAGAAATATTTAATAGGGTTTAGTTGTTTAGTAATAAGATTTTAACATTGCAATCTTATAAAATATTTGATTAATTTTGTATATATTTTTACTTTTATATATTTCAACTTTTATTAAAAGAACCCTTCTCTCCATTTCAACCTCCTTTGCAGACTCTTCGGTTCGCTGCCAAAATACACACAGCATCTATTAGTTTTATTGTTCGGCACATTCCGGGTCATCGCTAGCAATGCGGCCCATGCCTCCACCGGAATGACCAGCGAGGCACTGGGCGTATCCGTGGCACCCAGTTTCTTTCAATCCTGCGTTAGTGATGGAAAAACCGCTCGCATGGAGGATGTGCTCAAATTCAAGGTGAGTCTTTTAGAGAATTTTTTTAATTTATCTTATTTTATTTATATAATTTACTTTACTTTCAGGTTGCTACCAAAATCATGCAAAATATAATTGATAAGTTTGCCACCCACGACATCTTTGGGCGTGATAATTATGAATATTATGCCCGCGTCACAGGACGCATACTCAAGGTGCAGGATGAGTGGATTTGCAGCTTTCAGTATCCACCACCGCCGCGTGGTAAATTGGCTCAACAGAAATATGCATGTGAGTAAAAGAATGTTTAAGAAAAAGGGTACACAAAAATACTACAAAATATATATTAATAATATAATTATTAAAAAAGAAATAATAAGACAAATTTATATTATTATTATTATTTATATAACAAATAGTAGAGTTCATTTTCATAGATCATACCAAATCCAAGTGAAGAATTTGGTGACTCACAAGATGAGTCATTGGTTGAAGAACTACCCCAAACAATGACTTGAATTCCTGGCTAATACATTCCTTTTTTGTTCTTCCCTCCCTAAAAAAACAGTACAACATTCATTGGAGGCGGAGAAGACCTGGCTGCAGTGCCAATGCGAGCGTTGGGGCTTACGTGAGTACCACCTCTTTTATACGAGTTTCTTAAGTTCTATCCGTAGTCATAGTTAGTTATAGACTCTTTGTGCTTTGCTTCCGGACTCCTACCTCCTCTCTCTCTTCACACTCCACACTGTCCGATCTAATTCTTCTGTCTGTGTGATAAGCTCATCCTTGGTCATTTTGGTGTACCCGAAACAAGATAAGCTTCAGCCTCACCCTCTGGCTCTCTCATCCTCCTATACAGCTTTGTGCTCCCTGCATGCTCTAGTAGAACTGTTGTGTTTTGTCTTCTTCCCCTTCATTCATATGCAATGTTAACCATGACCCCATGACCTAATTTAGTGGCCCAGGAAGAGTCCCGATCGACGCCCGCCCTGCTGACCAGTTCCAGTTCGGCGTTGGAGAACAGCGTTCTCTCGCTGGGCGTCTCACCGGAACACTCGTTCATCGAGAGCTGTGCCCGCCTCTCCGTATCGCTGGAGGGTCCCGGCATTTTTGCCATGACCTCGTCTCCACTCCCGGCCAAGCGAAATGGAAATGGGAATGGCAATGGCAATGCTACGGACTATGATTACGATGACTATGCCGATGATGACGAGGACAATGATGAGCTGGATGGCGTTCATGACTTTGGGGCCGAGCTGGAAATAAGCAGCATAGCGCCGCCACATGGAAGTCGAGGCATATATCGCCACAAACAGCGACCCCAGCAGCCACTTCACTACCAAGAGCAAGCGCAGCAGCATCAGCAGCCGCAACAGCAGCAGCCACACCACCGCCAGCGAGACTACGAAGATGATGATGACGACGATGAGGACGACATGACCGTTGTGAAGCGACGCTATCGCCAGAACAAGAAGAAGCCGGCCCCCACGAGCAGTAGCCATCACCAGCGGCGGTTGCGTACGGGAACCAAGAGCCTAGATGGCGGAGGCGTTGGCGGTGGCGGCGAGCGACGTCCATCAGCAGGATCGAATGCTGGAGGCAATCCCGTTGGCAATCCCACACCGCCCAAGCCCAAGCAACGCACCTGCAGCCGCTGCAATCGGGGCATACGTCACAGCAGCTCCTGCAGCTCCAACTCAGCCGGTGCCACAGGCTCCAACGGGGGATCTGGAGCGGCGGGCAACGGTGGAGCGGAGGGCGGCATGACCATGGATGAACTGAGAGCCGTCAATCGCTATGCGGAGAGCACAAAGAGCCTCTCGTATCTGCCACAGGTGAGGGATGAGTTCCTGCTGGGCTCGCGCATTTCCGTCTGAGATCTAGCGACTGTTGTTGTGTAGAACGTACATCTATATATGTATATAGATCCTAGATCCTAGATCCTAGGTCTAATATTAACCCCCTGCAAAATGCTCGAATTTCTTTTATAAGTTTTCGTTTCTTTTTTCCAGCGAAAGATATAGAATCAAGAAGCAAGAATATCCTAGCTATTAAGTTTTACTTTCTCTTTCTTTTGTCTTTATTTCACCTTTACGATTTTCTGTTGCGAATTTTGATTTTCAGTTATTTTTTTTATTGTATTAAATTTTTTGATATGTACAAGTTTTCTTTCTTTTTTTGTCAAGTGGAAATGTTTTTTCCTTCTTATCACTATCTATCACTGACTTTATCTATCTTAACTCTCACCTAGCAAATTGTTAAACGAATTTTGTGTTTCATTTTTGGAAATGTGTTTGCCTTTTGCATAGTTTACTTTATTATTTTTCTTTTCTTTTCATTATTTGTATGATTTTTCTATAATCTAACTAAAACCAAATTTGTGCGCCTGCCAACGATATCAAAAATTACTACTACTCACACAACAACAACAACAATTACAACAATCAACAACACATTTAATATTATTGTAAAACATAAGAAACCCCATCACAACTCCCCAAAAACGGTACAAAAAGTACACAAAATCAAAATTTAGTTAGTTTAAAAAGAAAAAAGAAAAACAGCACCAAAAACAGACATTAAAAACTAAAACATAACAAAATCAAAAGGAAATAAAATGTGAACCATTCCAACGAAAAACATAGAAAACATTTTATAAATACACCTGCTCCTACTTATAGACACCTATTTTCACTAAATAAAAAACAAGTGCTAAACCAAATTGCGTATTTAATAATACAAAACCAATTGGGAATTATAAGAGACAAGTTTAGGCTTCAGCTGAGATTGGAATTGTAAATAAATATTCAAAGATTGTAGGTTTAATTAGTGATCAGACTTTAGTTTCGGGGAATTTCATGTGGATCTTTGGATTTTCTGGACCTAAAAAAGAACTTGGATCAAGCAGAAGTATACAACATATTTTCCACAAACTCAATCTCTTGTACACAACTTGTAAATGTAGATGTTATTTTAAAGATACTACACCTTATTATTATTTATTTATGATGTAATCGGATAGACCACACTCTGTATTATAAGCTTCTTCCTTTGATTTCGTTGTAATCATTATTTTGTAATATATATTTATTTTTAGAGACCTAAGCCATATTGTTATCTCTGCACTATAGTTTAATTTCAATGTTATCATATATTTTGTAATTCTTCTCCTTTGTCTTTGCCTTGTCTATGTAGCTTAGAAATGCCTGCCTTTGTTTGCTGTGCACCCTGCATAAATGCATGTAGCTAAATTACTTAACCAAATAACATTTAGTTGATAAGCAAAAAGCAAAAACAAAACACAGACATAATCATGCGAATCATACTACAAAAGACACAAGCCCCGAGATATATACATATTGCATTTGTAATTAATTCTTCTTTATTCCTGAATGTTGTTGTGTTTCCACCTCAAAAGATGAGCAATCAAAGCGCGCTTGTTGGCGGTTTTTTCACTGAATGTTGTTTCCTTAATTAATTATATTTTTAATTTTATGCTTGTTCCGTATGTTGGGGGTATTCATGGTAAAATGTATCCTTTTATTCCTTGTCACTTCGAATACCCCTAGTGTTTAATCATTTTGTATAATCTTGCACAGCTTTTTTTTCACTCTGCGCTGATTCTGCCACTGAAACTAAATGTTTTGTTAACAATTTATTACGTTTTTTTTTTTAATTTTAATTTTGAGTTTACTTTCAAATATTTTTGGTTTTGCCTTTTTAAAGTTTTTTAAATTTAAGTGAATTAAGAAAAATACAAACAAACCAATCATTAATGCTAGCTAAAAAAATATTAAAAAAAACAACAACAATAATTTCAATTAATGCCAAACAAAAACTCTAATGCGATAATTTTGAATCCCCCTCCGTCTTCCCCACCAACTACAACTACAACAACAAACTCAACAACAACCAAACTCAACAATAAACTCAACAACAACATCAACATCAACCACCAATGAAAAAACATGTTTGAAACGCTGTTAGGTCCATGAACGCCAAACCGCACGCATGCGCACCCGCTCCGAGTGGTTCCTGGGTCCCCGGGATGCTGTGGTCACCCTGCAACTGCCGGCGGACACCTGCAGCAACTGCTGCTTGGCCGCTGCCGCTGGATACTTGGGCGGCGGCAGCACCCGGGATATGCGACAGGCCCAAACGGAGGGCGAACGTAACCAGGCGGCTCTGCTATATCACTTTTATCGCCGCCAGCAGCAGCAGCAGCAGGAGCAGGAGCAGCAGCATCACTTTGACGATATGATGGACACCGAGGACAGCTATGGACAGCAGAAGGAGCAACAGCAGCAGCAGCAACAAATACATTCCAAGGGCCTCTTGAGGCCACCGCCCATGCAACATCAGCAGCCACAGCAGCAGCGACGTCTGCTGCTGGACGTGAATACGGGTAGTTATAACGACGGACTAACTGCTCTCACCAACAAACACAACAACAACAACAACAACACTAACAGCGGCGACCATAACCTGGCTAGCATCAATCTACACGAACCGCCATTCGCTGCCTCCACATGCTACTTTTCCACACAATGCTTGAGCCGATGCCGGCTGGTGCAGCCAGCTGATGCTGCTGCTGCAGTTGTTATTGTTGCGGAGGAGGAGGAGGACAGCAGTGATTCACTGGACAATGGCGGACCACGCACATTGTTGGCCCACGAGCTGCAGCAGCATGTGGAGCCCATATTGCTGATGCGACACTCGACGCCACAGCACAGTGCCGCCTCATCGCTATATCAGTCCTATGAGGTGACCTCCATGCCTGGCTCCTCCCTCGGCAACAACAACAACAGCAGGAGCAGCGGCAGCATCAATAATAACAACAGCAACAGCAACTTTGCCACTGTCATTTTCAATGTTTTGGATTTTTTGTTTTGATAGAAAAAGAAAAGAACAAAGAAAAGGAAGAAAAGAAAAGCTAAAAAGTTGAACTAAACCTCAATTTGGAATGAAATATGTCTTGTGTTTTGCATCCAATCATGATTATTTTTTTTTAGCTTATGTCCCAACTAAATGCTAAACCATTATTATTTATTTGTATTGTTTTGTTAAAAAAAAAATAAAAGGATTCAAAGTGTGTTTATCAGGCTAACTAATTTAAGAATTTAAATTAAGGGGTTATCCGGGTTTTGAAATTTCAAAAGATGCATTTTTTTCAAACTTTTTTATATAATAGTACAAAGTGTCAGGAATGTTTTCCGAAAATTTCAAGTCGATCGAAGCAAAACTGTAGGAATGGGAGAAATTAAAACCCAGCGCGTCGTATGAGTCACAACTGGCAATTAAAACTTTAAACGCGTTTTTCTCGAAACCACTTTCTTGAAGTCGGTAGTCAAGATTTCTCGAAAACTACTGGACCGATCGACTTCAGGTTTTCCACACTTCTTCTAGACATATTTTTCTTGTCTCTGAACGAAGGAATTTTTATATCTTCAATTAGAACCGATTTTATAACCCCAAATATGGCCAAATTTGACGTAAAAAGTGTCATTTTTCATGAAAAACGCTCCCAAAAATTCAATTTTTAATTTTTTAAAAAATCCTTCGTTCAGAGACAAGCCAGACACATAAGCTAACAGAAAAATTTTGGTTTTTTGATTTCAAATAAAAATTGACGGAGAAATCCTGCCTACCGCAAGGACATAATTTTTTTTAGGGTTAAGTTCAACCCTCCCTCAACGGCTCATTTGTGAATATTTCTTGTTCAAAATTTTACAGAATTTAGTTCAAACCTTATGTATTAATGTAGAATAAATGAAATTTGAAAAATTGTCATAGGATCTTTTAAAAAAATTCTGGAAAATAGGCCTTTTTTTGTGGTTCTAAACCCGGATAACCCCTTAAACATTAAACATTATAAAATGTTGCTAATATCTAATGAGATTTGCATGGTAAACAAGCAAAGATTTCTTTGTTTAATTTAAATATATTTTGTTTTAGAATTTCATTTGTATTAGTTTTGATTAATTTGTGTGTGTATTTCGCTCTCATTTATGCTTTATTTTAACAAACAATAAACTTTATTATTTATTTATACTGTGTATAATGAGAAACATAAACAAAATGAAAAGAAAAAGAATAATGTGAAAAAGCTTTTTTGTGTTTTTGTCTTTATGTATTTACATGCAAAATTAAATGTGTGTTTATGTGTTGTACTTGTTGTTGTTTACTAACCCCCTCCCCCCAGAGATTTTGTGTTTCACCTTTTTTTTTTTGTACATTTATTTTGTAAACTGTTCAGAATCAGCAGGTGCAACAGGTAGTAAGCCATAACACCATCAACAACAACAACAGCCACAAATGACAACTAAACACTCAACATTTAAGAAGCCACCAATAACCAAAAGTTTAACTCAGCCAGCCTATAATTTATTTCTCCTATTTTTTTCTTTGTCCCCCAATTTATACCCGATCCCCTCGATGATGATGATGATGATGATGACCATTCCAGTTGGCAACATCCGTTTGAGTAACAGCGCCGAGTCCATTCAGTATGCTGCAGGCCGACGTCCAGTCACCAGTCTCGCCCTCAATCCCAGCCTGGGCCTCGGAGGAGGAGCCACCACCAACACCACTATCAGCCACAATCCCACCACCACTCGCCGGCTACTCATCAATGTGCCGCGTCAATATCGATCTTCGTTGCGGCGAAACAAGGAGAAGCAAATTGGCTGCGGCGGCGGCAATAGTCAGAGCAACAGTAGCAATAGCCTGGGCAGTGATCAGTTGACCGGTAATAATCCAGGATCGGCTGGAGCTTCGGTGCTAAACAAACCCTTGCTCATGGTGGGCCTGCTGCCTGGTGCCGAGCAGCCGCCTTCTGTTAGGAACTCGATTGCCGAATGCGGCATATCGACAATGTCCCAGGATGAGGATAACAGCGATCATCGGATGGATGTGGGCTTGGAGTGCACGACAACGCTGAGCTTCAAGCCGCCACGGCTGTAACAGGGACAAAGTCGGCAAAAGGATAGCGGCACGCATGACTGAGATCAGCCAGGACTCTTGCGACAGCTATAATCTATAACTTAAGATCTAACCAAGAGCGAAATAACTTGATTTTAATACGTACATATACTATATACTTCCAACAGGTGTTGTGCTTTGGAATCTCTAGAGATTTTTAAGAGATTTAAATTATTTTAAAAGTGAACTTTTCATACTTTTCAAACTTTTGGAACTTTTGGAACTTTTCTTAAATCTCTAGAGATTTCCTTGATAACCCCTAATACATTATATATTAGATTATTGTAATAATATATATGTATTTAATGTGTATAGCAAGAAAAGGCTGATTTTCTTTAGTTAAAACAAAACAAAACAAAAGAAGATAACTAAAAATTTACAACTGAAACTAAACTGTAAAATGCAACTAATTGCCAAATTTTATTCAGCACTCATTTCGTTGTTTTACCTTTACGGTTTTTATTTTTAAAAAACTTTTTTTTTTTTTTAGAAGAAGAATCTCTCAAAACTTGAAACATTGTCAAGGTAGGAAATAAACGAAATTTTTCACCTGAAACAACGACAGAAAAGAAGAAAGCAAAAGAACATCTTAACAATCTACTAAATAAAACACACATTTCATATGATATTTGATCCTACAATTCGAAAAAAGGGTCTTTAAATGCAATCAAGAACCAAGAATAAGTAATAAAGAATTAAGAGTTACAGATCTACAGACACAAGTACAAAACAAGCAACAAACAAAACACGAAACCAATCGAAAATCTTATCTATTATATATAGAAATTCTACATTGTTCTTACGAAAATTTAGCATTTAATAACTTAATAGTTAAGCGTTTTTCAAATTATACTTGTAACTGCGAAATGGAAATCAATTTGTGTAAAATGCTGCGAATGTTTATTGTTAATGTTAATAGCGTTATGTGTGTACATATAGTCTATATATGTGTATGTCTGTATGCCCAAGATATATATCTAATATGTATATTCCAGTAAACAGCAACATCCCTTTTTCAGAGGGGATTCAGAACTCTCAACAACGAAAGATAGAAGAAGGAACACACCAAACTCAAAACCAAGATAATTCCATTTAGAAACTGACTTTACAGATTCAAGAACAAGATCTAAGGGACGGATCCCTTAGATCGTTTTTCCACTGCCCCCACACAGTAGTTCTGTTTCCCCCAGACTCCCTCTTGAGACTTGGAGATTTTTCAGCTAGAGTTGAAAAATTCTTTGCAAAGTTCCGAAAAACAATATAATACATACATTTTTCCTCGCTGTTCAGTGTGTTTGTTACAAATTGAATTTACATTAAATCTAAATGTTAGATAAAATAAGATAAAAACCATTTCTTAGGGCCACTTCATACCTAGTATGAAAAGAATCTATAATATATAGATTATAAAGCTCCGATTGTTGCCCAGAATGGAGATAAGAAACACCAATTTGTTGAAATACTTTATATTGTATCAATCGACATCATTTTTATTGCTGTATATTATGGTAGGCTATAAGCTATAAAATATATGATATATAATTGTATAAACCTTACAGAGTACGTCGAGTTCGAGTGAAGTACATTCATTAGCCACTAAAGAATACTATTACATAATTATAAATCATAAATCGTAAAGTGTAAACTGTAAATGATGACGGAAAGGTATATAGATTATACGAGCAGGATCTGTTTCAAGTGCATAATGCATTTCGAATACATTTTTTCAAATATTTTTAAACGATTTTCTTATTATTTCTTCACATTTTTTGAGACATTTTCCAGGATTTTCTTAATTTTTTTTTGTGTGTATGTGAAAGTTGCACTTTAAGAAAATTCTGTATAAAAACCAAAAGAGAAAAGAATCATACATATAATGTAACTCTAATTAATGAATGGAAGAAAAATAAATAATTAAATTGGAAAAAATAATTAAGGGCGGGCACCTGGCTTACGTTTCTCTCTTAAATGCTAATACGCTTACGAACACATTTTTGGTCAGAGGTTTTCTTTTTTATCTTTTGGGTTTAGCTTTTACCTAAAACTGACAAGTAAGGAAGGGTCTTGAGAAGTTGAAGGAACAAATTTTAGGAAAAATGGGTTTATAGGAAAATTTTAGATTACGGAAAGTCTTGTTTTGAATATTCAAAATCATTACTAAAACATTTAAAATGAAAAAATCGAGTGTTTTGAAGTATAAAAAAGCTTTTCCTGTTAAATTCTATTTAATTTTAGTTAGATTTTTACTTAATTTGATTTTTTGAGCCTGAGATTCACTTGGGTTTCAGTATATTTGACCAAAAGTTAGGACGTATCTTATTTTAAAGATTTTTTTTTGTTTAATTTACACATTCAGAAAGCTTAAAAGTAAATATTTTTCTTTTTAATTACACATTTTTTCAGCTTGAAAATATTTACTTTAAAATTTGTAGATTGAATTTTTCCTAAAAGTGTTCCTTAATCTTTTAAATAAACTTGGCATAAACTTATTTTGATTTTCAAAGAACCAAAAGAGCTTTGGCTTTCAAGTCGCCATCGAATTTAGAGTATTTGTTCTGCCTGGCTCTGTTTTTGGCAAGCATGTTTAACTCTCTTCTTTAAATCATAATCTTCTTCACAAACCTTTAAATTAAATTGTGGAAAACCCTTCATTACTTGTCAGCTTGTAGGCCTTCGCTTAACTTACTTAATTGTACAGAGCTCTATCCACTATAATTCCATGTTCTATAAGGAAACTCTCCACATCGGAGGCAAAGAAATCATCGCTCAGATCATCGGTTAGTCGCACAAAATTGCCAATGAGAGCCTGGGCCTTGTAGACCAGCAGGGCGGGCAGGCCTTTGGTGCGAAAATCTCGGCTCATGCCGGCCACCGAGCTGCAGATCTTGGCAAACTTAATGGACGGATAGTCGGTGGCTAGGCTGTCCAGGCACTGGTTCAACGTGCTGCAGGCGGACAGGTTGCGCTCGTAGATGTGTATAATGACGGTGGTGTGCTTGTTCTCCTGCTCCACGCAGGCCAGGAACTCGCTGTGGGAGGTGAGTTGCTGCACCTTACCGAACTGCTGGTGGTGGCCACCTGATTGCCTCAACATCTCGGCCATGCGCTGTTTCTGGTACTGCTGCAGAAAGTCCTCGCTCATCAGTTCGTCCAATTCGGCATCCAGCTCCTCCTGCCGCTTGCGCTCTTCATCCTCCGCAGCTGTGGCCGTGGTCATCGTTAGCTTCTTGGCCAGTGCCAGACGTTGCCGCTCTGTCTCGTCCCGACGCTCGGCCTCCAGCTGCTTGAACCTCTGCCAATCCTTGACCACGCCCTTGGGTCCTGTATTTGTGGATCCTTGTTGCTGGCGGAAACCTCCAGCTGGAGTGGCGTTGGGATTTGTGTCAATGGTGAGTCCAGAGGATCCGGATTTTCCTGCTCCCTTGCTGCTGCGGCCCTCATCGCCATCGTCGCCGTTGTCCTCGCCCTCGCTGCTGCTGCAGTAGTACTCCAGTTTCTCGCCCAGTAATTTGTCCTCCAAGGTTGCCATGATCGGTAATTAACGTGTTTTTTATAGTTACAAATAATTTACAATTTAATTAGTATTAGAGCCGATAACGATACCGATATAATTATCTCTGTCAAGGCAAATTGGTCACATTGAAATCGATTAAAATAGCGTTGCCATACCTAACTAACAGGGAATATCCTTTCCAACACTATTTTCTTTTTAAATATTGGGCGGCATAAGTATCTATAACCTTTCTTAATTTTATAAAAATAAAATATATATTAATAATTTAAACCCCTTGAATTTTATTTTTATAAATTTATCTTCTTAATATGAGTAATTTTATTATAATTATTTCTTTAATAATAGTAATATAACCATTTAAACGTATTAATTATATTTAATTTTTAAGATTTATTATTCCTATTTTTAATATTTCATTCTATGCGTTTTGCGTATAATATCAAAAATGTCCTTGATATTCTCAGGCACCTCATAATCCGGCATTATCTGCTCCATGCTATTAAAGTCCGCCTTTTCCAGTTCATCGCAAGAATCATCCGATCCGGACTCATCAGCCAAAGCCAGTCTTTCGGCAAACGAAACGATTCCACACCAGGCTCTAAAGTCTATATCCCCCGATTTATGGGCGTCGTAGTCCAACATGTTAAGGGTACCGCGAACATTCTTCTCGGTGCCATGAAACTCGAGGACATCTTCCAGAGCCTGCGGCAGACTCTGCCAGACCAGGGTACGTTCCTTGTATTTATATTCCGGCAGCTCCTCGTTGCCCATGACAGCCAGCTCACTTTCGGGTTCTTCGATGCGGCTTAGATACTTCAGAAAAACTCGCTTATAGAGCTGCTTTCGCTGCTGGGAAACCCAGACGTACTTGCTCAGGTAGTCCCAGGGGGTCATAGCTATATAAAGAAAATATATTATTATATATTATTTATTATTAAATATTATACAAACTTTTTAGCATGGACATATCCATGGGAACATCAAATCTGGTGGCTGACTTGGAGAACTTGCGCGGCATTTTTGAGGTGGTCTCTGGTGGAACCTTTTCTTCAGGAGCCTTTGGCAGGGTCTTGGGTTTCGGTGGCATATACTTGATAGCTTCTCTCAAAGCACGATTTAGCTGGATATATAATTATATAATTCAAAGAAACATACTTTCAATAACCACTTACATATCTCCCAAAAGTATTCTCTATGAGATCCACATCCAGGTCTGTTTTTAGGGCCTGAAAGGCATCATCAGTGAGGAAACTGCCCTTCAGAAGAATCGGTTCCCTTTCACTTTCCCGCTTATCCTTGGGCAGCAAGGTCAGCGAGTTGGGAATCAGACTGGGCCGGGTGCTAGGATTGAGGGAGTCTGGGCCCAGAGCAGCCACCTGGGTCTCCGGATCTTCACTTAGATGGAAAGTAGTGGTAGCTAAGACAAAAAGGATATATTTTTAAACTGAATCTTAGGTGACTCTATCCTTATTTTTTACCCTGAGCTGGCTTCAATTTCTTGCGCTTCTTTCCCCTGCGGACATCCTCATCGCTTAACTCGTGCTCATTGATGCAGGTCTTCGGCTTGGCCTCCAGATCCCCAGCATCTTCAGCTCCTGCCCCAAGAGTAGCTGTGGCCAGAGATGATTTGGGTCTCTGTTCGTTGGATGTCTGTCTTTTGGGCTTCTTGTCCTCATTGGCGCCGGCACTCTTGGGCTTCTTGTCCTCCTCCAAACCGCTCTGGGTCAACTCCGAGCTGGGCTTCCAGTACAGCGTCTCCTGGGAGTGGGATCTCCTCAGATCCAGTATGATCTTCTTTCTCTTGATATTTTCGTGCTTGCCCCATTCGGGCGTTATGCAGCGGCGATAGAAGGAGCCAGCACTGGTCCTGGTATGGATGCTGGTCACCGTGGGCGTTGGCGTCATTGGACGCGAGTCCGTTTCTGCATAGCGCCGGAACAAATCCTCCGGTATATTATCCGTCTCATGTGGCTGCAGTTGGTCTTCCTCCGTAGCCGGCTTTTCCTGCTTTCCATGCTGCGGATTCTTTCCCTCAATGGCCAGCGATGTTTTCAGCTGATTGATCACATCCTTGACACCCGATGGAGCCGGATGATTGCACAGCACGGAGCAGCCTTTGGCAAAGGGATTGAAGAGTCCACCGAAGGGGCGTAGTGAAAGCGGCATAGGCGTGGCCTCGAATCTGAGCGGCATTCGCAGGACATCGCCATGCAGGTTTTTGCGCTGATAAATGGAGGTTTTTTAATTAAAATTTAGTGACATTGGTGCACAGAGAGAAATATATAAAAATTGAAATATATAAAAATCTGTACGTTTTTTATATCAATTTACATAGAAGCCAAACATACGAATTTTCATGGATAAGTTCTGATAGTTTTACCATTGAAACTTAAACTTTTATTTGTCTTATTTACTTTTTATATTTCACTGCATAGAATATTGACCAATTACCTTTTTCAGATACTTTACATGCCTCTTGGGCGTGGGCACCAATCCCGTACGTGTTGTGGCGCTCATTTCTGTTAGGTAAATAAACTCCAAGGAATCGAAACTGTCGGCAAAAGTCGGCGTCCATAAACAAAGGTGTTTTGTTGCCATGACTATCAACCTTTTATTGATTTTATAGTTAATTTTCTCAATGGCAAATAAACTTTTTAAGAATAAATTAATTGTTCTGAACAGATTATGCATAAATCATCACCCCAAATAAATTATTCAAAGGGATTTCTAATAATAAATCGGTATTTATAATGCCTTCAGACTTTTCTTTTATTTTGTATGATTATCCCAATTAAAAACAATTTAAAAACATAAAAACATAAATGAAATAACATATGTTTATTGTGTCTGTGTGTGTGTCTTAAAAACTAAGAAAACTCTTGGGTTAAGTACGTAAGGAATACACTTTAGGAAGAAGGATTTATCAGGCAGTTGAGATGCTCGATCACGGTTCTCAGTAAAGGGATCCGCGATGATGCAGATGCCTGAGACGTTGATCCAGCAACTGGCGTTCGTTGGACAGCGAAAGCGTCGACGAGGAGCGATGCAGGGGTGCAGGCAGAATGGCGGCACTGCCGGTTCCTAGCCCAGACCCGTGACTGGTGGACACTGTGACCACGCCACCTGGCGATGTTCCCTCAATGGGACCCATTCCGGCCGTGTTACCCACCGCCCGAGAGCGCAGGAGATGATTCCGGAGCGGCGACTGGCGACGCACCGAATTATTAAATGAGATCTGCAGCGAGAGACGCTTCTGGGAGAGCGAGGCCAGGTGCTCGGGCGACAACTCGATCACCTGGGGCGGAGCAGCCGCCGCCACGGCCATGGCAGCCGCTGTGGCGGCACTATAACTGGGCAGTGAGCCTGTGGGCGAGGTGTTGCCACAGTTGCAGGCAGCGGCGGCAGAGCCTATGGATACGCTGTCACCACCATCCACAGCAGATATGTTGGTCTCCACCAGGCTATAGCCTACAGCTTGCTCCTTGCCATTGTCATTGCACTCAAATATCTTGATAATGGGCACCACGGCAGGCGTTAAGATGATGCCAGCCTTGCGGAACTCCTCGAGGGCATCGTCGTAAGTGGGCAGTCCAGACACAATGGTGTACGAGGGCAGGGATTCCGCCTCATAGTCGGGCGGGCAGCGGCGGCAGATTTCAATTGTGGGATCACTGTGATTGGCACGGTCTGGAAGAGGAGAGAGGAGGTGAGAGAGGTTAATAAGAAAGGCCTTTTTAACTATATTATTAAATATTCTAATATTTATAAATTATTTATTTGTACCCTTAAATAATGAATTTATTAAGTGTTTTTCCAAGTTTTTTTCCTCTATTTTTTCATTCTTTTTCCTTTATATTCCCAAATTCCTGCTCGCAACTTCCGGAAGGCATCCGAAAACAAATAAAACGAAAAGAACAATCAGAATTATCAAATCAATTCCCCTTTTGCTACCTTTGGGATTTGCTCCAGCCGGCAAATAGCACTTAAACCATTCCCATTTCGATTCCCTTCTAGTTTTCTGGTATTTTGGGGGATGCTGCTGGCGGATCTAAATGAAATTTTTATACCGAAAAACGCTTGCTCGCTTAAAAGCTAGTAAAAAGCCCTAAAGGTGGGCAAGTGCAAGCAGCTGCGACGACGCCACCCTTAAAAGTAGGCAACAAAAACGAAGTTATTGCAATTGTCCAGCGGAAAAGCGAAGGAGGAAATGAATGTGGCTCCCGGGATGGTTGGGTAAACCCGAACATGGTATGGCATATATATCTCCCCAAGAAGGTGAGTCAGCATTGCAAAGATGGAGTGTGCTGAGATATCCCGGTGACGTGGTACAAGATTTTTAAGATTAGCTTCGGCAAATATTGAAAATGGCACACGCTTCGCTTCACACCCTTTTTTTTTCCTTGGATTTAAAGCCTGCGGGTCGGCATTTTCCGACATTTTCCGGTAACATTTTCACACCCACATGAACGGACGTTCATTTTTTATGCAACGCTTTTGTAAGCTTACGAAATTAAATTGATGATGCACAAGAAAGCGGGCGGAATGAAAGTGAAAACTCATCGGCAGGGGGGTTGGACTGGATTTTGAGGTAAGGCTGGGGGCTTGGGTTTGGAGCAGAGCCAGGGCCAGAGCCACAGCCATATGGCACCCCGGGAGCTCTGTCAACCCCTTGGCTCCGCTCTGCCACTGCCGCTGACAACAGCTCAACGTGCTTAAGCCTTTTTGTAATTTTCAATTGACTTTAGTTAATTATGGGCCAGCTTACATCAGGCTTAACGTATGTATGCCTCTCCAAAGGGGGGCGAAATCTCTTGCTTTTTAAGTCCGGCGGGATACACTTTTGATTTTCCGACAGGTTGTGCTTTTAAGTTGAATATGAATATTTAAGTTTTCATTAAGCACTATGATTAAAATTGGAAAACGGTTATATAGCAGTATTTAAAGTGTTATAAAATACATGAAAAATAGGGGAGATTTGCTATAAAAAAAAGAACATTTAAAATATAAAATAAATACTTGTAATTTGGTTATTAAATTTATAGATTCATAGATCAATTTTACTGGAAATTATTTAGTAATTTTATGGACTTAAATGACAAATAAACATTTTCAGAGTTTTTGATAAAAATAAAATAAAGTTTAGATCATATTTTCCCTCTAAAAAAAAGCAGTAAAAATATAAATATAAAAACAAAATCTTGCCATTTTTGTCTAAATTTATGCAAATTTTTTCTTCTAAAATATTTGTACTCCTACCTTGTTCCTTTAATATTCGTAAATAAATAACTTTTTGGTCTCATAAACCCAGGAATTATAGTTTTGCTTTTAAGGCGGATTTTCTTTAGTACTAGGCATCGCCCCCACATAATCCGCCCCGAAAAACTGGACATTCCCAAGCCGAGGGGAACGTGGCTTTTGCCATGGCCACAACTACTTGGCTTGATGATGAACTGTCTGGGCCCATAAGCCCCGGGACATACGCATTCAATTCCCCAAACGCAGCTTAGCACGACAATAAAATGAAGTGCAGCGTATAAAAAAAGAGAGAGCAAGCCACTTTCTGGGCAGATGAAACGAAAATAAAGAAGGCACAAAGTGTAAGTGCGTTGTGCATAAAATATTCGCCGCAAGTTATAAGCCAGCAACAAAAATGGACACCGAAATATCCACTAGTCAATATGGCAAAGGTCATGAAACCGTCCTCACAGCTTCCAAAACAACGAAAACTTGAGTGCACATGGAGAAATAAATACTGTAATATTGATGGGTAATAAATAAAGTTTGTTTAATATCTAAATAAGAATAGGTAATATAAAAGTAAAATAATTATTAACTCCAATAAAATCTTATAAATAATAAAGCAAATGTTAACCTTTGAATCTATAAAATATTGTTGTGTTTTGCAACCCCTAAAATAATTTTAAATATCTTAAGACATACAAAAAATACCCTATAATTTTAATCATATATTTTTTCAGTGTAAGTTCAAAGGACCACAACCTTAGGCAGCCTAACAGATATTTGGGCGTTCTAACAGTAACAACAACATCAACAAAAAAAAGTTAAACACACTTTATGTTGGGGACTACCCGCTTTCTAGTTTTTGGGGATTCTCTAAGGAAGCGGCATGTGGCGGAGCCAGTGGGCGGCGGCATCCTGGGCGTTGTGCGTTCTGTGGATTTGTGCGCCAAGCCACCGGGGCAGAAAAAAAGAAAACAAACGACACACAGCTCAAGCAACCAAAAGTGACGTGCCCAGGATGAGGACGATGGAAATGGCGACATGCCTGCCAGCAGACTGAAGCGAAAAAATGTGGGGAATATTGGGTGGAAAAAAGGTAGCTTTTGGGGTAAGAAGCACTGAGAAAAATGAGGTTAAAGGAGGTTTGGGATAAATCAAATTAAATTTTCGGTATCAAAATGAATTCACAGATCATACAAAATTATTATTTCCTCACTCAATTGTTTACCCAACTTGTCAGCTTTTTTCCATATTTTTCCCCCAGTGTAACTGGCTACCAGACAGACTTGCCAGGCACGTAAGCAGTTTATGCCACGCCGCCACCCCCAAAAAGGGGGAGAAGAGAAGAGCCAAAAAATAAAAGTTCAGCCCACATTTTTGGATGCTGCTGCTGCTGCCATCGTCCTTTGCCTGCGTATCCTCCACATCCTGCCCTCGTCCTTGTCCTTGGGGCTGGTAAACACGGCACCAAATTGCCGTTTAAATTTCTCCCCAATGTCTACGCCTGGGGCCAAAGCGGCCTTGAAACATTATTATGACTGTTTCGCTTCCCCCTTTGCCACCTGTTAGGCAGTCCTGCCCCAAGACCGAAGCCCCAGGCACATCCCCCAATCCCCCCAAAGAACTTTATATTTGAAGTTGTGGCTGCCAGACAATGCCGGGGGAATCGTGAAGACAGGCGTTAAATGCTACCTATGCCTCCCACTGGAATCCGGAGATTCGGGCATCCAACAATGGGGTCTGATCCATGTCAAGGGTCAGGGCCAGGTGGTTTGTTCGGCTAACTTATGGCCCTGTCTGCTGTGCAGCCTCTGGTCTTTGTTTAACTAATTAAACTCTTGTAGAGGCGAGAATGCAAAATACCATTCTGCGTTCTTGGCCAAAAACACGTGTCGGCTTGGGGAAAAAATAAGAGAAAAATATTTGTATAGAAAGAATGAATGTTTTAGGCCCGAAAACTAAACGCATGTCAGAATTGCATTGTTTTCTTTGAGCCGGACACAAGAAAAATGATGTTGCCCAGGGCCAGGATCTGGCCAAAATGTGGAATTAACTGGATCTTAGAGACTTGTGAGTGGCCTACAACTTAGGGGGATTATTTTGGATCTACATTTAGTCTTTAGAATTGTTATGAATTTATATTTATAAATAGCAATGGATAAATATTTATACATTAAGGGATTGGTTTTGTACATACATATCAAATACCAAAGATAGTTTCTCCGATCCTATAGGCTCGACTGTAAATTTGTCGCTTAATTTTCCTAAGAATGTTCTCGGGACAAATGTCCCATCATCAGGAACTGTAGCGCATTAAAACTAACTGCTAAATTATTAGCAAGACAACCCATCCATCTCATGGGTAGGTCCAGCATCGTCCTTCGTCCTTACGCCCCTACGTTTCTCGGTGGTGGGGGGTCTTTGCACACGAAAAACCGAAATGAAGAAAAATTGCGGCATGTCAGTGGAAGGCAGAACAACAATAAAAAGGACAAAACCGACAACATGAAGACATCTTCAGCATCTTTTAGCCAGAGTAAACGAAACACGCGCCAGGAGCATCCAACATCCAGCAGCCAGGACGAAAAAGTAATAAGTGTGTCTATTTGTTTGCGAATATTTCATTTCCCGTGCCGTTTACATTCTATCTCGTTCCCTTCAGCTCCCACAACTCGATTGGTTAGAGGGGGAAGGAGCCAGGCAAAGGGACTGACTGTCACGAAAGTCGCATTTCCCAAAAAGAAAAACTAAATTATATAACCGTATATCAAATTTAGTCTCTGTTTATGTGGGTTGGCCCCACAGCAAATTCAATTTGAATTTGCAAAATATTACTTTGAGCTGTGCTTAAGACATAAAGCCCTAAGATAATACTGAATCTGTAAGAAAACTCTCTGAGGTGGGTTTGTTTAACAAAAGATTATGGTAAATGTATTGATTTATTTGTATTCTCAAGGAAAATCAAAGTAACCTTAATGTCACAACTCCTTTACCTCGTCTGTTTAGTTAGTTTCAGGTCCCAGTTCATTTCATTTTGTCAGTTCCGACCGGTCAACAGATTCCAAGCCCATTACACCCAGGTTCCAGCTCCAAGTGTTGCATGGAGAACGGCGGAGGCAACTTGCCACCGGCTAAGCCGAAGGCCAGTCGCAGGTGCAGAAAATGTCCATCGACCATGTCCTCTGTGCTCGGCAAAAGTGTTCGTAGAATTTCTCGAATGGAGGGGCCTCTGCCAAGACTGCGGATCCTACCCGATGACAAGGAAGGCACGGGAAAAGCCGTGAATCTCGATCATAATGATGAGGTCCCAGCTGGGGGCCTGCGATTCGGCAACATGGAATTAATTAATGACACTAAACCCGATGCAGTTTCCAAGACATCAACCGAAGGCGAGGTACCCACCGTCCCAAAGGCAGGAGGCTTGCGTTTCGGCGATGATAGTAGTTCAACTAACTTGCCTATGACCACGTATGATGAGAGGGAAAGCGTGGAGTCTGAGCCCAGGGACAGCATCCCGGAAAGCGGCTGCTGTCATCGTCCAGAGGGACGAACAAAGGCCAGGAATACTATGGGTTTTGCTTCCTACATGAAAGCCGCCACTCGCTGCTCTTTAGACCGGCAGTGCGACGAAGATTGCGGCTATGGCACTGGCTGCGCTGCTGAATGCAGGGATGACCATGGCATTGAACCGGAAAGCTTACCAGGGTCACTAACTATTCCCAGCCTGGGCTTAACTGGAATGGGTGGGCCAAGTGCTTATCCAGGTCTACCAGCTCGGCAAAGTGGGTCTCCTGGTTATGGCGAGAGGCAAGGAGGCTATCCTATTCCTGATGGACGGAGCTCCTGGAGGGATGAACCCTGTACAGACTCCTCTTGTCCCTGGCCCAAGCATGATGACGGCGGACAGCTGAACTTCTATGTCATGCTCCTCCTAGAGGTCTTTTGCGTGCTAATGTGGGTATATATATTTGTTTCTAATTAAATTAACCTGAGACCGGGGTCTCCTCTCTCTCCTCCAGCTTTTTTGCCCTCTGCACCATCACTTTCTGGGTAACGTTGGTCTATCACTTCGTCAAGCTGTTGGTGGAACTCAAAAACGCCGATCGAAATATCCAGGTAGCAGTGGCCATTGCGTTTGGCTTGCTGTTTCTTGCCTTTGCTATTTGTCATGTTACCAGCGGGAGAAGTGGTTGCTGTGGACGTTCGTCGGAAAGATCCCATCACTTTTGGTCCAAGGGTGGTAGCTGTCACAAGTGCAACGCCAAGTCTAATACCCCAACCATAGCAAAGTTTCTGTTAAAGATCAAAAAGGTCCTTTCCTTCAGTTGCGGCAGCTGCAACAGTTCCAGCAGTTCCCGGAAGCAGAGCACTCCATGCGGGGCCAAAAAGGAGGTGGCACGATCCACTCGAAAGCCGCGATACAGCGACTGTGAAGGTCGGGCCATTTTTATCAATTCCAGACGCTATGCCATTCCAACGGAGATGAAGCAGCCGCCCACCATACTCATCTGGCTGCTCGATGTGGTTGGTCGCTATATGTAGTAGCATCAACAGAGTATAACCTAAATGAATCTATCAGATCAATCAAAGCAGAATACAAGGAGAAATAGGACTTTAAACCAAGATCAAAAACAAGGGTACTTGGTAACACAAGTCGGCACAAAATTTGACGTCTTTTAATAAATATATCCTTTCATACAATAAATACTTGTTAAATATAGCGGTTTCAGGAGAAAGGAATTCATTATTTTATCGGCGAAATATCCAGTTGGCAATTATAACAGTAAATATAGAGAAATTTTGTTCCACTTAAAGTTCTCATGCTGAAATATCACTCAATAAAAAATCAGTCTTGAAGAAAAAATTAAAAACCTATTATAAACTTCATTACGAAAAGTTTTTCGTAATTTTTAATATTTTTTATCTTAAAATTAAAGACGTTTTAACCACTGTTCCTGGACTGTTAGACTTCAAATTACAATATTTTTTTAAATCAAAAAACATCCGACTTGTGCCATTTAATTTGAGTAACTGCTGCTCAGGCCTTTGATTTATGTACATTGAACCTGCTGAAAGTTCAACTAATACATAAAATGCAAACGGCGTGCGTAGACAAAAGGAGAGAAAAAAGTTAGTGTAATTTATAAAATGCAAGCCACACATGGTGCCTGTGCGCCCGAGCGCTGAATGTTATTAAAAACAATATAAACAACTTCCAGGCGGGCTGTGGGGTCGCTTGTTTATGGACGCCAGTGTGTGAGGCAACTGGGGAGACAGGCCTTAAACCACAAAGTACCACTTTCCTGCCTATTGGGCGGTTGTGCGGCAGTTGCGGCAATTTTCAAATTGACTTTTGCACATGTTGCCGCCGTTACGAAAATGCGGGCAAACAATGTAGTCGAAGTGTGTTCCACTAAAAAACAAAGAGCGAAAAATATTGCACAAAGAGTGCTGCCAAGTTACCAACAAGAATATAAAGAAAAACTTTATAAATATGTTCCAAGGATACAGTTCCTATAAAACTAAACTTTAAAATAATTTAAATTAAGTTCATTTAATTTAAATTGCTTCAATAAACTCTATAAAAATTAAGTGATCCTGAATTAAATTTTCAAACTCAAAAATGGGCAGCACTGGCTACGACAGAACCGTTAGACAGCCCAAGAAGTAGTGCAAACGGAAGTAAAGAGAAAAATGCGAGAAAAATTTGGGCAAAAGAAGTGCACAGCCAAAAACGTGCCAATTGAGCACGCGAACGGAATAAACAAATAGTTTTCAGACGCAGCTTTGGCCAAAAGTCGAATATCCATCAAAAGGACATTAGAGGCGGCGGCAGATGTTCTTTTATTTTAACATTCCACATAGCTTTTCTCCATTTTTTGGTTTATATTTCAGCGCCGTTAAACCGCCCCGACCGGCAACACTACCCCGAGGGGGAAACACTTTCCAGCACTACTCTCCAGAGAGAAAACAGTGTTGCAAGCGATCACGCTCACACACACACATAAGCAAGAGATTTTGCACGCACACGAACACAAACAAGGGTAAAAAACGCGCAGCCAGATGAGAGAGAGGGAGAGCACTGCTTGAGAGAGCGGCGCCGGTCAGTGCTGCCAGAATCTCCGAAGCAAAATTTATAGATTTGGAAAATATAAGATATTGAATGTTCAAAACTGGAGAAAATTAAAAACAAATATAGCTCAATAACCAAATTTTTATAAATTCTTTTTCATTTTCCAAATTTGATAAATATAGCTAATAAAATACACAAAAAAGTTGGCTTATAATTTTAAGTCTTCAGATCTAGCAACTAACTTGCTAAAGTGGCAGCACTGGTTGAGAGAGCGGCGTCGGTGGATTTGTTCTCAACGCTGCGCCGCAGTTTTTGTATTTTCGAGTTGTTGTAATTTCTGTTGCCTTTTATTCGCTCTCCGGCTTTATTCCGATTTGTTAAAAGAAAACTAAGCGTTCGCGTTTCGCCAGGCATGCTGAAAATGACAAATGTTGCTGGGCCGCTGCAAACGATGAAGAAAAACGCAAACGGCAACGACAACGACGACTCCGAGGAGTCCGACATGGACATGGATGAAGAGGAGGAAGAGGAGGAGGACGATCTGCCCGACGATGTGGTTCTACAGATCGACAGCGAGGACGAGGCGGAGCTGGAGGCGCAACGCATTCGATTGGTGCGCGAAGAAGAGGAAGAGGCCAAGGCCAAGACCAAGATAACAACAACAGCAACAAAAACAAAGCAGGAGGAGAGAGAAGCGCAGGTCAGTAACGGTAACGCGAACGGCGTGGTGAAGAAGGAGGTGGAGGAGAAGTCTGAGATTGGAACAATAAAATCCGGAAAGGTGGCCACCAAACGTAAGGCACGCGGCAAATCCGGACGCCGTGGCTCTGTGAGTTCGCAGGCCTCCAGCGTCGGGTCCGTTGCGTCTAGCGCAGGCGTCACCTCCTTGGTGGCCGCCCAGGTTCTGGCCGACGAGAAGGCGCGCAGTTTTATCTACAGCTGCACGCAGTGCAGCCATCACTACGGCGACAGTGTGATTCTCTCGCGGCACTTCCAGAAGGAGCATGCCGAGAAGCCGAAGCGGAAGCGTGGTCGGACCAAGCTCGTCAGCCCCGAGGAGGATTCACCAGCAGTTTTCAATCCTCTAAACCTCCGCCCAGAGGATCTGAGCCAACTCAAGCCCTGTGCCCAGCTGCTCATGCAGGGCGAGTCCTTGCTTCAGCTGTGCCTCGCCTGCAACTCACAGTTTGTGGACCAACAGCACTTCCAGGAGCATCTTAGCCAGCAGCATGATTATTTCAAGCTGCTGCTGGTGCCCAAGGAGGAGCCCAGCGATCTGCCGCCGCTGGCCATGGTCACCATACCGGGGGCTCTGGCCTTGGGCAAGTCCAACCAGCAGCTACAGCTTCCCATCCCAGCTCCAGAGACCCCGCCGCCCGAGCAGGATGTCAAGGAACCACCAACGAATACGACACCCAACGACAACGTGGTGGCGTCTAACGATGAGGAAGGTCTCCATATGATAAGCGCAATGGTGGCGGAGATAGCGGCCGAAAGGGTCAAGAAGACCAGCAGTCCCAAAGTCAGCAAGATGATCATTAAGCTGCCAACAGTGACCAGCAAAAGGGGCAGGAAACGCGCCAAGCCGGAGAAAACAAAGAATCGGGATATAGCTGAAATGATGCAGCTGCAGCCTGTGAAACCGGAGAACGATCAACCTAAGTCGGAGCAACCACAACAGATGGAAATAGCTGCTGAGGAAACGAAGGAGACAAAGAAACCCAAACAAGATGAGAAACAGCAGCAGCAGTCGGTGAAAAAAGCAGCAGAGGATCTGGAAACTGGAGAGCAGCAGGTAGACAATGGAGACAAGAAAAAACATCCTCTAGAGAATGTTTCCATTGAGGATAAATCGGAGAAAATGGAAGAAGATTCTCAGCCGCCAAAGAAAACTGAAGAAGAGCAAAAGCCTGCAGAAATCAACAAGCCATTACCTGGAAAAGTTGAGAAACTTCAGCAGCCAAAGGAAGTTAAGGAGCCACTGCAACCGGAAAAATTAAAAAAGTCTCAGCAATCAGAAAAATTTATTTCGAATGAGCAGCAGAAACCACAGGGGACATCAGAGAAGGAAAAGCATCCATCACCAGTAAGTTTAGACCATTACACGTCCATAACAAACTCCTTAAAAACTTATTTTTCTTTTAGGAGCCAAATCTTAATCCATCCAAGCGCAAGCGCAACCGCAAAGAGCACAAATCGCCAACGCCCATACCCGTCCCGTTGGAAGACAAAGAAATTAAGGAGGAGTCTGACACCACAGAGCGACGCAGGCGCAAAAGCCGCAACTTAGTGGACTACGTAGTGGATATCAAGGATGAAGAGGAGGACGATGAAGGGGAGCTGGATGAGGATTCATCGGCCACAGTTTCACCAAACACCAGCTCCACGGATGACAGTTTCACCTCGATCAAGCGTGAATCATCCGAGGAGTCGCAGCACAATGGAACTGGTGGCGGCATACACACCTGTAATTTCTGCGGCAAGACGTTTAAACGCTTTTCCCGGATGCAGGATCACCTGCGTCTTCATACCGGCGAGAAGCCCTATGTATGTGGACAGTGCGGCAAGGCTTTTCGCTTGAAGATGCGACTGGTTGAGCACCAACTGCGCCATCGCACCGAAAAGGCCTTCAAGTGTGATATCTGTTCAATGCCCTTGGCCACCAAGCAGGATTTGTCGCTCCACATGCGTCACCACAAGAACGACAAGCGCTACAAGTGCGACAAGTGCAACAAGGGATTCGTTCGCAGCTCCGATCTATCCATCCATGTCCGGATTCATACAGGCGAAAAGCCCTACAGCTGTGACATTTGCAGCAAGGCGTTCCGGGCGCGTCAAAATCTCGTAGTCCATCGACGAACTCATCTTGGTGACAAGCCCATTCAGTGCGAGCTGTGTGACAAGCGCTTCGCTCGGAAGATCGATATGCGGGTGCACATGCGCAGGCATACCGGGGAGAAGCCCTACAATTGTGATTCTTGTCACCGTGGGTACTCCTCCCGAGTGAATTTGGCGCGTCACCAGGAGCGCGAGCATGGCAAGAAGGAGGATAAGAGCTCAGGATCTGGCCCTGCCAAAGCTGAGAAGAAAAAAATGGCAAAAGAGCAGGCGAAGGAGCAGGAGAAGCCACCACAACCCAAAGCCAAAGCGGCGCCGCGACGACCGCGACGCGAAAAGCTGCAGCAAAAGATCGCGGCCCAGGAGAAGCTACTGGACGATCTGAAGCGCAGCTTGAGTACATTGCCGGAAATAGCCGAGGAGTCATCATCTCAGGTCAAGTTGGATGCTGTAAAACTGCCAGCAGATGCCGGAGCAGGGCGTGCCCAAGTTCAAGTCACTTTGTCCATGCAAATGGAGCCCGCTCCTAGCCATGAAGACGATGAGGAGATCACGCCGGAGAAGGAGAACGCACTGTCCAGCTCTACTGCGTCGGCGGCAGACAAGACAAAGGCGAATCGCAAAATCACCAGCTACTTCACAGTCGTGGGTCAGCAGGCGGAAATCTAAAGACTTAAGTTTCAGGATTAGGAGCAACACTTCTTACTACTCATTACCTTTTAAGACAAGCCACTCTGTACTTGGAAATGATGGTGGAGACATCATTGCCTCTAGCATAGCGTACGCCTCGCAATTTTGATCTTTTTTTTGGAGTTTAAATGCAAATCTTGCAGCAGGGATCAAGTATTTTTTATATATACTATTTATATCATATATTTACCGTAATGAAGAGGTGTGAACGATAACCATGTAAACCACAAAGAACACAGAAAAAGACTACTTTTTAAAAGAAAGAAATTAATATTTTGAATACGAATCAAGCAAGAGACTGCAAATATATATATATATATATAAATATATTTTTCTACATAGACAGAGCAACTTTTGTGAACAAAATAAGTTAAACTACTTATGTAAAAAAGAAAAAAAAAAATACAATACCAATAACTAGTTAGGTAAACTTAAAAATTTAAGAAAAATATTTCTGCGGAATTCACTCATTGAAGCTCAAATTTCCTCTGAAGTCTCTCTCAATCAATGGTTTCCCCATGAATAATTCGTAAACAAACCCTTATCAGGGCTTTAATATCAGCGAAATATATCGTTTTTGTAAACAAATAGCGCACAATGTTTATTTGCAAACATTTCCTTGCCCATTCCCTGAAGATTAATTCACAATTTCTTTTAATTTTAATTGCAAGTCATTTTATAATGCAATTAATATACAAAAATCTCCAAACTTATATACTCGAAATTCCAAAACAAATGTAATTTAATTTTAATTATTAATTTTAAGCAAAACAAATTGCTCTCTATCTCAGCACTAGCTACTACAATTTAAATTGTATTTACATTTACATATAATTACTTAATTACTTTCTCGAATTATAGGAAAAGACAATGCAAAAGGTCAAAGAGAGCAAATTTTTGTAAATTGAATTTTTGTGGCAGCTTCTTCTCATTCTGTGTAGCATCTAAGAGATTTCTATGAATATATATATATATTTTCTAATTTCACTTTATTGATGTTAATTTGATACCGAATTTAATGCAAATTGTTGCGCCTTGTAAGTACTTCAACCCCCGAAATTGCAATTACCTGAATGGGGTGTGTGTGTGTTGCGACTTTTATGCTTTATGTTTATGGGCCAGAACAACAAAAGGCAGCTGCTGCTGCCGTTGCTACAGCTACTGCTCCTGGCTACTGCTGCTGCAGCCCTTGTCAATTTTTCAGCACTTTCAACTATTGCTCGAGAGGATTGGGGTGGACGCTGCCGGAGAGTAAATGTCGGGCGGCCGAGGCAGTTTGTCATTTGTAATGGGGTTGTACTCGGGTTCATTTCATAGTGCCAAGGGGTTGATATGTGAGAGAGAGATAAATAAAGGCAGACGACAAATGGCCAAGTGGGAGAGCGTAACGGAGCGAGAGTGATTTATACAGAAAGATCCAGGTGGAAGCGGCTATCCCCTAAACGATCGTTGAACTCTGCATCTCGTAGGGATTAGGAATATCTAACTAAATAAATCAACCCTACTGCATAATTAATTTTGGGTTTCTCTCTTCGAGCATGTACAGGGACATTGTTGGTGTATTCACAGATTAAATTTAATTATTTTGGAATATTATTTCTAAGGATTCAAAGGATGCTAAGTATTGATAATTTGAACATCCTTAGCTATGGATCCAATTTAATATATTTCTATTAGGTATTTACACCAATATACTTTAAAATGTTTTTAGTTTTAAAGTGAGTAGATACTGTTATCAGTGGGTCTTTCCACTTTTTATGACTGACATTTTCATTTCGCATTTGAATTCTTATCCGAACGAAAACCAATTTCTTTGGTCTCTCACTATTGTGGCATTTTTGGCCATATGCTTATCATCTGCACCGCTGCAATGACAATTTATTTTGTTCTGGTTTTTCAAACAAAAGCGCAGCACAACAAAAAATGCTAAAATCAGCGAATAAAAGAGAATAAAAAAGTATGAGCTTGAAATGCAATATTACGCATACGACGCGTGGTACTGCGTGCTTTGTTTGGGAGATTGTGCAAAAATAAAAAAACCCAACAAACTAAAACAAAAAGAAAGAAAGAAAACCGAAAAGATAGTCAACGTGACAGAGAACACACATTCACACACACATATATGAACGGAAGTTGTTCATACTGGTGTGCGAAAATATGCAAATTAAGTGTGGCGACTTTTGTTGTCGCCGTTTTTTGGTGTAGAAAGCGTGTAAAAAAGCGAGCAAAAAAACTGTACGTATACACATTATTTGAGGCTGGCGATTGAGGAAAGCGAAGCGATGAAAAAAAGCGAGTATACGCCCCGTTGTACAGTCAGCAGCCAGTAAGCGTGTGTGTGTCTGTGCTTGCTTGTCTGTGGCTGTGGCTGTGTGGCGATCAAGCCTGCTCTTTTTGTTTTGTTTTGTTTTCGGCTTGTCTCGTCAGCATTTTTACACTTTTATGTTGCTGGCTTTTAATTGAATTTCGCTCCATTCTCTTGTCTCAGCCCCAGACTTTGGCTTCTTCTGTTCTTATTCCGCTCTTTCCTTCTTTTTGCTGTTTCTTTTCGGTGTGGTTAATTTTAAAACTACCCATAAAAGCCACACGACGCCAGCAGCAGCAGAGGCAGCGACTTTTGCCACTAATACAATTACGCACTGACATCGACTTTGTTCTGGATAGGCACTGAGAGAAATTGAATTCAGAGAAATGGTAATCAATAAAATAAATATCTGGTGGTTGACACGAAAAATCGGGAAGTTTTAATTAAAATTGAAGTATGAACAAAATAAAAATTAAAATTTACTTAGAACACTATCCATGATTTCTCTTGGTGCGCACTCTCTTCTTTCTTCATCTCTCTCTAGCTGTCCATCTGCCTCTCTCTCGCTGGCTTGTGTTTTTGTTTGCCAAGTCTCTCTGCTGCTGCGTTTCTTCTGCATTCTTGCTGCGGTCGTTAACTTGCAACTGAACATGTTTTGTTGTTGTTGTTGGTTAGCCGCTTCGCTCTTTTGTTCTGTCTCTCTGCCTCTCTCCGTTCTAAGGAGCGCGTGTTTTTGTTTGTGTTGGCGCTTGGCTTATGTTGATTTGTTTGCGCAGCGTCCTCATCTCTTTGTGTGTGAGCCGCTTTGCCATTGCCGCTTGCGCTTGTGTGCGTAAGTACGGTGAGAGAGCGGCGGTGAGAAGTTTTCCAACACTCAAGAAAGCGCGGGGCATTTAAAGTGTTTAAATCTGCCAACGGTGCGTATGCATGATTAAATTTAAAACAGATTTAAATGTGGAATTTTAAGATTTTAACAATAATTAGTGTTTCGAAAGCTATTTATCTGTATACAAAATTATTTATTAACCTAATTAATCATTTTATTAATCAATTTTATCAATTTCTATATGACAAAAACCATAGTAGTGATGGTTAGATGTCCATCTTCGTCCTCCGCATGAATAAGTCATTGGTTTCAGCAGAATTTTAATTAATTGAACTGAATTAATGTGATTAAAATGTAGAGAACCGCAAAATCAAATTAACAGTAAATTAATTCTTGACAAACGCATTATAATTGACTGATTAAATATTTCGCAACGTCAGGAACTCCACTTTCTTGGATCGCATCAATTGATTTACGTATTTACCAGGACTATTACACCGGCGTTAGTGTTAATTTTTATTCATAAGTCCTGCTGACAGCCCTCACAGCCAATCCACACGAAATGGATTAAAAATTATTTATCCATAAATCATGCAATCGTTAATAAATAAAAAATTCATTCGAGTTCATTTCCCGTCGACAGTGAAATGGCACATAAACAAACAAACAAAGTAGGAATGGCAAAAAATGGATATTAAGCAAAAAAAATATACAGCCAAATGCATAAATAAATCAGAGCAGCGACGAAACAACAACAGTGCGGCCTGTCGTGCCTGTCGAACAAACAAATATTCATAATTGTAAAAAAAAAAACGCTCAAAGTCAGCTCCCACAGGGCTCAAGTGGAGTGTGAGGGGGATATATACACATTCAAGGACCTAAGGGCGTGCGAGATGGAGGCTGCAACTAACCGCTGAATGTGCATAATTTATAAAGCTAATTAAACGCGCATTTAACTAATTAAAAATATAGCGCGCTTCAATTATTGAAATATGCTGCCCAATTATGATGCAGTCCAGTTCGAGGAAATTTGCAATTAAAATATATGCGCAATCTGGGAGTGGCATCGATTCGATATATTCCCTAGCCGAAATTCGTCGAATCGCATGCTCAACGCGTCGTATACGTAACGCTAATCAAAATGTATATTACGTATACGACAGCATGACATGTGTGAGAGAGGGTTCAAGCTAATTTTGGCATTCGTTGTTATTGCTGGTGTTACTGCCACTGCTGCTGCTGCCTTTTTGGCTTTTAGCAACCAAATACTAATTGACATTTCGCTATGCCGACAAGTAACTGCGGGACCGATGCGGGGGCGTAATAAATGTAGATGTGATAGAGGTGAGGGGGCGGCTCGAACACATGTCTATAGCTTTACAGTTAGTCCAATACTACTGCTTGCCAATGCAAAAACAGTTTCAATTAAGCAATTAGCGCCATTGAAACAAATCCAACACGTTTTGTGGCTTATAAACTGAAGCATCATGTCGATTGGTTCGAGCCCTGCGGTCGATAAAATGGAGTCATGGTGGCATAGTCCCATTGGGGATAGGGGGATTTTGTTTTCTGCGGCCATTCATTTAAGGCAATTAAAGGGTAAGTGGGGTATCTGTGTTTGTCTGGGATCATGATTGATATGGTGAGAAATTTGTCGTATAAACTTGTCTACTGAATGTGTTCTATATATTTTTATATATTTTATATTTATTTTAAAACCCTGCAGTCTTGATTATCTTTATTTTTAATCCACAGTATCTTTGAAGTCTACCTAACCTTAACGATTACTGATTAGTACTTGGCTTATTACGCTCATTACTAATACAAATGCAAAATGCCATTTTAGTTACTGCTGCTAATTTGCGCAACATTTTTGGGTCCGCTTCAGTTAGCATATTTATGCGAATTTCGCGCTTCGATTCAATTTTAGCCACAAATTGAAAACAACAAATAGCATTTGCATATATACATATGTATATACCTTTGAATGCGCGCTTAAAGTCTTGATCCTGAAGGGGAATATACATTCATAAGCTGCTTACGGCTTTGTTGTCTGCCATGAAAAGCGTTCTGTATTGACGTCAACGATGGCCCCAAACTGCTGCATTATATAAATCAGCTTATTGCGAATCCGTCGCGGATTTAGAGGAATCGAAGAGAAAGTCGAAGCCAAATGGGAGAGCCAAGTGGACATTGGCCCTGATGATAATGATGATGATGATGATGCATTGCCATTGCCAATGCAATTTGCACTTTAATAAACCCTGCTGGGGCACGACGAATGTTAATTACATTTGCAAATTCAATCACACTCAAAGTGCCTAATTTAATTAACAAATTGCCAAGTTTTATATTTTGCGGCGCAGCCATGTTGATTAAAACGGTAGCAGCAGGCGTTTTCGTTTGTTTTAATTAATCTTTGCTAAATGCGGCTTTGTTCTCTAAAAGTTTACCTGCAAAGTTTGCACTTGATTGGAAATTGATTTCGATTAGGGAAAAAGGTGTGTGTGCCTGTCGATAAAGAGTTCTATTAATAAATATTTTACGAGCCTATTTAGGGCGGTTTATTTTAAGGGGTTTTAATGCTCATTGAGCTCATTGAATGTTTTATCTTTATAGGGGAATTTCGGGACTACAGGTAATTGGTTATGGTTTATGGTTTATGGTTACTAAGAACTTAATTTTATAGAAGTTTGATATAAGTAAATGAAATTAATAAAGATAATTTTTTTTACTTTAAAACTTTCCTTAGAAGAATAACCCAATTTTCCCAAAACTTTGGGTTCTACGAACTCCGTAACATCCCACATATCTTAGCCTGTCTATCAAACATAAAGCCACCAAAGCATCACCAAATGATATACAGCTTAAAGGTCTTGGCCGCAAGCAAATATTAAACATACATTTATTTACTATTTAAAGCCTTTAACCGAGCAAAACCCAGTGAAGGGTGTCAGCTTAAAACAATAAGTGGCGCAGGCCAGAGCAACGGCAACAGCGGCAAATTGGGAGGCAAATCAGTTAAAATAATAACAATGCGATGCCCGCAACAATGACGTTGGCGGTAGCCAGTATGTCCAACAACAAACACAAAGATAAACAACTCATTAAAAGGAAATTAAACAGCCGTGAACCGAAACGAGCGCCATGTCACGACCCGTCACTCATACGCACTGTTGTCTGTGCGTACATGAATGACGTTTCGCGGCTTGATAAAGACTCTTTCTTTATTCCGCCAATAAGAAAACGGGATTTAATGAACTTTATACAAGTGCAGAACACATATTGATATTTAAATCGTTCGATGCGGCAGTTGAATTTTATATAAATATAAATAAAAATATACATTGTTCAAGCAGCTTTCTCAAAAACGTGTCTGAGCATTGAATAACTACAAAAAGAAAAGAAAATAATGTTTAAAAAGTATCGCAAAAAGTTATTGTCAATAGAAGAGAGGGGTGTGGCTTGGACCGAAAAGTATTTCGCTTCTACTGTTGACTTTGCCTGGTTGCTAAGTTAAATATTTTTCGTGGTTTATATGGCAGAAAGTAAGAAAAAAATAGAAGTTAATGAAAATATAAAATAAAAAGAAATTTTAATTAATTACCCTTTTGTTTAAGTAATAAATATATTTCTTTTAAATATTAATACTTTGAATACTCCGCTTTGTTTTTGTTACGACTTTCTATATTTGTTCAATGCTTCTTCCTGTTATTTACTATTTTTCGTTAGTACAACATTCTCATCCTGATGGCAACTCAAAGTTTATTGCGCTAGGCCTTATCATTGAAGAGGTTACTTAGATATTTATTTTAGCCAGGCCGAATGTTTGCTTGAACCCATTAGTACTCGAGGTCTTTGACTGCCTGCACTTGACTTACATTCGCCCCTTATCGAGGCAATTGACTTGGGCTCAATTGAAGCCAAACGACTGTGCGAATAAACGAAAGAAATTAGCCAGCAGCCATTTTGACCGTAAGCAAACAATTGACAGCAGCATTAGCAATGGGCTGGAGACTGAACTGGACTGGACAGGAGAACTTTAATTAATTAACACAAATTTGCAGTGTAATAGAGCGACAGAACGCCGCTCGAGCTGTTGGTAAATGTAAACAACAGCGACGGCAAGTGCTCGAGAATCCCTCTCCTCCAAAGTGGGCCACTTGACTGCAACTTTAATTAACTGGAAACGTTATGTTTGTTTTTGAAGGCGGCCAACGGCAAAGACAATGGCACAAGGGGTTCCTCCAAAGATAAGGGTCGAAACGCATTGTCTGGTAGAATGTTTTCCACCTCCCTGTTTAATCAATGTGTAGTTGGCAATTTATTGGCCTAATTGCGGTATAATTTATAGCAAAGCTAAAGCTGGACAAAATATGATTAGGATTGGGGTTTACACTGGGGAAAAGGAAGAACACATTAAGTACATATCATATCATAATAAAATAAAATAGAGTACCATGCTAACATGCAAATAAATCCAGAAAATATGCTCTATTTATTCTTTAAATCTGAAGGTTAATTTCTAATTGTTTTTTCAAGTGCCTTGACTCCCATTCTGTGGCTTCTAATTATTATTTTGGGCAAATTGTCGGAGCGAACAGACAGCTCATAGAATACAATCATGCATTGTTTATTAGCCGGGGCCAGAGCTGTGAAATGTCTTGTGCTTTTGGCCCCTGTTTCCAAGTCACAAGATCTCCGTCTGTGCGGAATGTGCTAAACAAATACGAGCTGAAATTTCGATTCCCTCTTTTTTCGGAGAAGGTGAATCATTCCCGACTTTATTGTTTTGTTTTTGTTTTATGCTGTTGCTGGTGTTTTTTTTTGTTGTGTGTTTTCTTTTTCCGTCTTTTTGTTTTGGAAAAGTTGCTTCCTGCGGCAGACTTTGCTTTTCGGTACTTTTGTTTATTTGCTTTTATCGGCTTCTATGTATTTTTGTTGCGCTATTTGCTTTGCTCTCACCGCTCACAGTCGCTCGTCGCACTAAAGTCCAAGTCTAAACGGGTTTCCAACTGACGTTTAATTCAGCCCCAATGATTCTGCAATTTGATTTATGGATTACCGCGAATTTTGAATTTGAATTTTCTATAGCTAAATCCATAGATGGGCTTTTGTGTGAGTAATTGTTTATGTTTGATTGGTCAGGTATGTAAATATGGGGGGGCAAAGATTTAATGTAAACTGTGCTAGCTCAACGCAATATTATTGACTGATTGTTCATCTATTGATGTTGACGTAATTTAAAGCTTAGAAATCTCTTGTTAAGAGGGATTAGAAATCGAGAAATAAATATAATAATATTTGCATTGGTTTTTCAGTAGCTTTCTGTAAGTCTACATCAAGTATACGCCTCGTGAGCCGTACTTAAAATTATATTTCTCTTATATAGGTGGATTATTATGATATATTTTGCATGTTTCTATACAAAAAATAATCTTTTATCTTAAATATTCTTCCAAAAAAACCCCTAACTTAGCTTAAACTTACTTCTACATCACGTATACGCCCCTTAATCCCTAAACTTACATGAATTCTTCCACTGCTGAAACTTGTGATACACAAAACACGCACAAATGAAGAATATCACAAAGACAATGAGCAGTGTTAGGATAACTCCTATCCAGATATCGCTGACCACATGGGCAAAGTCCTGTTGATCGTCGCCCGTATATATCCTAGATCCATGGGCTATATGAGGCGGTGGAGCTCTGGCTGCTGGCAGTACATCCAATAGATCGTCGGCCACATCGGCTACATCGTTGGCCGTGGCACCACTCAGATTAATCTCGACCTCCTGGCGATCGATGGTGAAATTTCCCAGGGCCGAGTCCAAGCCCAAGGCCAGTTGCTCAAGTTTGTTAATGAGTATGGAGTAGTTGCCCGGCAGATCGAAGCCGCCAAGATCGAGTTTTTCGCCACTACTCGCCGATGTGGTGGTAGAGGTGGCATTCAAGGCCATTGTGGTGGCATTGAGGCCTTCAGATGTGGTAGTGGCAGCCGTAAGATTGCTGCTGCCACTGTTGTCTTCGAGACCTGCCAGCAGGTTGCCCGTAAAGTTAAGAGCTTTCAACAATTCAGCCATGGCTTAGAATGTTTTGTTTTCTATATTATATTCTTAACACTTTTGAAATTTATGTAATTTCTAAGCTAGACACAGTTGTTTTTTTTAGATTTCTTCGAGTCAGCCGCGGTGCTGGAGCTTCATTTCGCGACTGAAAACGCCCGACGAGTGTAAAGTTGCAAATTTGCTGGGCCGCTTTTTGTCGGCACTCCCAGAGCCTGGCATATAGATTTTATTTTGTATTTAATCTCTCGCCTCCCTACTTTATGTCGTTTTTCACTTTTCAACTAATTGTGTTAACGCATCGGTGTTAATTCATTCGCCTTACGCATCGCGCATCGCATCTCTGGCCAGTAGAAAAATGTATCTCGCAGATACAGCCGCTCTCATTGCTGATTTGTTGTTCAAATATTGATCGTTGCCATTAAAACTCTTCTTTTTTCACTTTTTTTTTTTTATATATTCATATTTGTTGTATGGTTTTTTTTATTTTTTTATTTGCTGTTTTTTGCTGTCTTGTGGGGGGAATTTATCTTAGCAATCTCCTTCGGCTGTCTATCTGTATGAGTTCAGTTTATTGATTTGCCAAGTGGAAGTAAGGGAAAACATTCCTGGCTCTGCTCTGTTTCGTTTAATCTCTGCCACTTTCGAGGCTGTAAAATCTTTGCATGTTTGCCCTGCTAATTCTCGATTACACGTGAAGTGCATATAGATAGAAGTGTATATAGAGTATATATAATGTACGCTCCAAGGCAGCACCACGTGTGACCTGACGACACTCATTTTAAATCGACAGAATTACTTAATGAGGGTTTAAGATTAACACATTGCTGAACAACAACAAATATTTATGAAAAAAAAGTAAACATAAAAGTTTAAGAAGGAAATAAACATTGTAGGAATTTATTATTTTTATTTGGGAATTTGTAGTCATTGAAGTTTTAGAAAAATAATATGTTTTTGATCATTTTCTAAGCCTTGTCAAAGCTCAAAATATTTTTTCTGAAAACTTAACTTTCAAAATCAACAACAAAATATTTTACTAGGGGTTTAATAACTTTTTAGATATATTTCATATATTTCTATACAAATTATTCCAATATTTCTGATAATAAAAATATTTTTTTAAAACGTTTTCTCCATAAATCACTCTACATATTTAATAATTTTTATAAAAATATCAACATTTGACTGTTTTATTGTAAATTTTAACAAAGTTTTGTTCATTTTTGCTTTATTTTATTTTAGTTAATAATGAATAGGCTTAAACCTTATTTCAAATGCGTTTCCACACCCCCAAGGAACACTCACACCCATCTCATTTACTGGTGAACGACTGTTCTATTTATGGAACAGCTTCAACAACAGTCAATTAGGCCGCTTGTTGTCAGCATCTATAAACATTAATTAAAACTGGGGAACCCTATTGAATTTCACTACCAATATCGGGTCATATATATAATATATATATATATATGTATATATTTAAGTAAACCAGACGCAAACTGTATGCACTTAATGAATAAATTAAGTGGAAAAATTTACACTCTCAACGCCTTTGCATACAAAACAAATTGGGGCTGATTTGGAATACTAGAACAGACTGGCACTGATAATATTGATAATGTATATATACATTTATACAGAGAGGGGCAAGTTTTTGACAAGTCATTTTGATTTTATAATGAATTAAACAAACAGAGGAAGCAAACAAATCATAGAAAATACTGAGAGAGTTCAAATTACAAAGAAATATAAGAGAATAATTTAATTTTCTTTAAATTTCCATAATTAATTTACTTTATTTTGATATTTTCAAGGAAAGTTTTCAGGTTTTTATTTTATTTTAATACAAAATTGAAAGATTTCACATAAGATTTATTTAAAACAAATATCCTTTGTTTAAGACGATAATTAATAATCATACAAATATATTTAAAAATATATTCTCTTGCTCAGCATAATCTTTTTCAATATATTCCTTTGCCAGAAAATATTCTAACGATGAGACAGCAAAAATAGCAATATAAAACACAACAATAATAAAAAGCAGGAAGCGTTTTCGTCAGCTTTTACTTATGAAAAAGCACAGTTTATAAGTTAATTTAAGGCCTACTTTTTAGACCTGTTTATGATTTCACACTTTACTAATTAAGCAATTTATTGCTAGTTTATTTATACTTGGCGTCAACTGGGTCATAACTTTTAAACTGTTTTTTGTTTCAAGCAAAATTCACGACCTCTATCAACAATAGTAACAAATGATGATTGAACAACTCGCGGAGAACTTTTGGTCGTTTTTTATATTTTATTTTATTGCCAAGTGAACCGAACTCGCGCGCTTGTTTACAACAATTAAAACTGCTTTCTTGCGTCTTGCAATTATAGCCACGTTAACAGCGAGAAGTTAACTGCGGACGAAGCGCCGCTACGCTGACAGCGACTGAGACGGCGACCGAAAAGCGGCGACTACGACATCTATCTAGACGGCAACTCAAACAAACTCAAGACGAATGAATGAACTGCCAACCGGCTAACTAACTGGCTAACTGCCCAGCTGACTGACAGACTGACATAGCCTAGACTGAGGCTGGGACTGGAGGCGGAGTCTGGGGCTGAGATTGAGACACAGATTGAACTGCGTCTGGCCTGAACCGCTTCTGACGTGAAGACGCCGCAAAAAATCAAATCAGCTGAGACAATGCGATCGGAGGTCCCCAGAGACAAGCTGCACTCAGAGAAAAAGTAGTGAAGGATCTATATTTAATTGTATTATAAATTGTTAAGTTCAAAGGGTTGAGTTTAAGTAGGTCAACATAAAGATTTTAGCTCAACCTTTATAAAAATATTAACAAAATTTTAGCCTTAAATATATTTTATTTATAATATTACTCATTTTAATGAAATATTATCCTGTCAATTTTTAATTTATAAAATATTTATTTACCTAGTAAATTCAAAGAAAATAAAATATAATACCTAATAGGTTTTATCTCTGAGACATGAACATAAAAATTCACTTAGAATAGAATAGGTTTTCTTAAATTATATCAAAGAAGATAGACCATACAATTTCCTAAGCAATAAATATTTTTATAAAATTTTAACTCAAGTTAAAAGATAATCGTTTTATATTTCCCTGAGTGCAGATACTCGCAAGCTAAAACTAGCAAATCAAAAATCATTGCCAGTTGATAGCTGCAATTGAGTTTGCCTGATTGTACATTATTTCATTGATTTACTGGTTTATGTCGTTTTGATTTTAGTTTGCGTGTTGCTTTGACTAATGATTACTTAAAAATATAATTAATAGTACCACTCTGTTAATCGCAACCTTTGTTTATTTACACCATATTTTTGACTTTTGTTTCCCTTCTAAAGTTCAAGTTTTAATGAGTTGAATTTAATCTAAATATTCGCGACTTAATCTATAGATATAGTAAAGCATTAACATATTTTTTCAATCTATAACCAGTTCTCTTTTATTGTAAATATTTCTCACAACTTGTATTTTATTTGTTTCTCTTCAAGCTTTTAACTTTATTAAGTTTTAATTGAAGCTTTCAGACTAATTTATATAGTTTCTACATTTATAATTTTCCAAGTACTTTTCCCTATTAAAAACTATGACCGATTTATAATATTCCCTGGAATCAGTTTCCATTTTCCTGTTTCTCACAATTTATTTCTTATTTATTCATATTAATGTTCTCTCTAACTTGAGCTCTGATTGCTGGCTATTTATTGTTGATATTTTGCATAGAAAGTATATGTATATGAAGGCTAAAAGAAAATTTAATGAATTTTTGCTTTGATTTATTGCCTTTGGCTTTCATGCTGGTAAAGAAGACTCTTGGCCTAATCCTTTCATGCATATTTCACGTTTATTGCATATCATTTACATTTAATTTTATGCATTGGCATTATGCTGCCGAAACGTGAACATTTCATGGGCAATTTAGCATCGAGTATTTTATTAGTTTATGGCTCTCAACGTGTGGCAAACAATCGTTTATTTCGCTATTGTTATAGTAGTAGTAGTGATAGTAGTTTTAGAGCATGTTTTATTATCTTTTCGGTGTTTATTAAAATTTGCATTTAATTATTTTGTTCGTATTTGCAATTTGTGGCTGCCGCTGCTGCTGCTGCAGCACTTTGCTGCCGATATTATAATGTGGCTAAGTCTGAAATGTTGTAGAACAATTCCAATTAAGTTGGGCTTTAATGCGATTGCATAACACGCCCCCCGTCAGGTCGAGTGTTGTGTGTATGATTGTGCAAGTAATTTTTCCTGTGTTTGCGGTTAACTATTTGTAAATCACAAATTGATTCAATCGAATGGCTGATTATGAATTTTCCATTTACTAATATTGACTTGGCTGCTGCTGCTGTATTTATGAGCATCAATTGCAATTAGCATTCCGGCACCGGCTTAGTGACGCCTGATTAGAGCTTTATCAATTTCGAATTATTGTGTAAACACTATTTGGCACTTGAAGCTAAAACCCATCATGAATGGTTATTGATAGTCTTTCTTCCATTGTTATATATATATTTTTTATGTATTTCCAACTAATCAATCAACAATTGGAGCTTTTTTGCTCGTTAAATGCTAAATGAATTGTATGGAAATAATTGGGTTAACACTGGCTGCAAAAATGAACAATGCCTGATTGAGTTACTGTTTCAAACTGATTTTTATTGACAGCATTTTAAATTATCATTATTATTATTTCCAGGCACATTTATCTCAAGTATCAGGTGTAGTACTTATGATTTATTCGGAGTACCCGGTTGCATTGTTTATCACGTTGATTCCTTATCTGGAGTGGCACTCGCCAATCATCTTGGCAGCCTGTACTACGTACGTACCTACGTAGTCGTCCATCAGATTACTATTTACGTTCTAGGCTAAACATGTGCTAAATACGCTTTGTTTTAGGCAAAACAGAGAGCCGATATTTAGCTGTAACTGTCGGTTTGTGTTGGTTTGAACTGGAATCGGGCATGGACCTTACATTAGCTTGGCCATAAAACGCTGAGAGCTATTAATTAATAATTATTTATATAGTGATGCGATCAAATGAATTTTTTTCCAGCCAATGGGATGATGAAGTGCTTTTGAGGGAGACTTGTAAAAAGTAGAGATCTTGCAAATAATTTATTAAAATTCATAAAAATTATATATTATGGCATTTAACTACAGAATTTGGTTAGCTTTAATTAAATATATTGATTTATATATATTAAATTAATTTTCAATTGCTATAAAATATGTTTTTAACAATTTATTTATTATTAGAACATTTTACTTACCAAATTTTCTCTTTAAAGATTTTTTTAAACTTTCTGAGCAATAAATTCTATATTAAAAATATTGACTATTCAGATAGGTATTTTTGCAAAAAGTTAAGTTTTTGATCATGTTAAATATATTAATTGTCATATTTTATCGATCTAAAATTTCCTTTAGACTATTTTTAATTGTCTCCTGATCAAGTTTTATACTACCAAAGTATAAAATTTTTATCTTCTTTTCATGTTTTAGATCACCTTAGCTTAGATCAAATTTTACACGATATTCCCAACAAAAATCCTTGTATATTTTACTTAAATTTAAAAATTCTTACTCACCACAGGAAATATCAATCCTAAGCTAGGCTCACAACCAATCAGAAGGTTCTTGTCTCCACTATTCCATGATCTAATTGAAATTTTCAGCCAAGAAACCCACCCTAAATGAGCCACAACTCACCTCAACCTATTAATTAGTTCTCAAATTTAACCCAGTCACGGTCAAAAAACCCAAAAAAATAAACACCAGTAATTGATATTTTGGTAATTATGATATTTACCCATATTTTAAGTTGCCATATTTTTTTGTTGTCGTGCCAGACGCCGGCTGGTAAAAATAAAATCGTAAACAGGTGCGAACCGGTTGCGCATGCGCGCGGCAGAATAATCAAGTGACAAAAAACCCCGCTGCTCACGTGATGATTTCTCATCGAAATACAATTTTATTCAACCAGTTTTGTATTTGGTTTTTTTTCGTGCACTAAAATTACTAATTTAATTAAGCGAAATATGGTCATAACACTGTTGCCAACAGCTGAGTTGTATAATAACAAACGAGGTCGTCGCTGAGTCTGGCGATAAGATCTTGATAAGATATTAAATGGAGAAGAGTTTTAAAATTAAAAACCTCGACCATAAAAATACCTAACGCTTGGTAAGGAAAACATTGCAAACTTTTTGGCAGCAAAAAGAATTTTTTTTGTGAAAGAAAATTTAAATTAATTGAAAATTTAATTTTTATTTAAACTTTGAGCTTGGCAGAAGAAATTTTCTTAAAATATGTAGGTCACCTAATGATATCTTCATTTTTATAATTCCTTATATTTAGATACCTTTAAATCACCCCACATAAATCTATCACCTTTGGAATTTCACCTGATATCGTCTGTATAGATATAGGCTACTGCTTAAAAGTTCATAGTCACGCTGATTAAGGCTGCAATTAAGTAAGTATCGCCACAATGGTTCATTGCGCCCGTTATTAACCCCCTCGGGTATTTCCTATGTCAGCTGCGATGATACAGACACATTCCAGCAGGTTGAATATACCCGGGAGAGACAGTGCTCCGAACTTGGTAAATAGTCGGCGTTATTTGCGCTTTAAGGTATAAGGTAAGGTGAGCAAACAATGGAGCTGGCCAAGGTATGGTAACAGTTATAATGGCATATCAGCAGCATATGTAATGCACCTAATTATAGAGTTCTGAGCAAGTCGGAGCGATTACCGCACAGCGGGGTCTTTGAACGGGATAAATACATATATGATAATGCAAGTGAGTTACGGAATTTCTATAGATAAGATTCTGAAATGAAGGTAACCGGAAGTTTCTAGTTTAAAAGAGTTGAAATTGATCTATAAGTTAATTATAAATTCAAATTCTTTCTAAAAATCTCATTATTTATTATCTCAGTTCCTGAAAAGAAACCCAAATTATTTATTCAATATTCCTATAATCTTCTTCTTTTGTATCTCACATGCAAGGAATTCCTTCAATCTCCGCATGTGAAAGAAAACTTACTTACTTCCCTTGCCAGAGTTTTCCCCTAACACACTTAACTCGGATTCAATAAGGAGCGGAATAATATTCAGGAGACCCCCGAAGCCCCTTTCCATTGGCAACACTATCGCTACAATCTTTTATCCAAACACAACAGGCCGCATCCTCGAACAAATGCCGTCACTCGTTCGACACTCATTCCGGTGGAGATGTTTCCCGCGTTGCCGGGACACCAGGCTTCCTCCACCGTGTTCCCTTTCCCGGCTCTTCGCTTCCTTTAAGCCAATTTGTAAACCATCAAATCGCGTTAAATGCGCTTTTCCGGTCGCGGCCTCTTTTTCCCTTTTATCTCTTTGGCTGACTGCCGCCGAGGAGTAAAAATCTCATTGTTATTGTTTTCCTTGCTAAACGGAAACGGTTAGAGGCTGCCAGGAGGTAGTCCCCTGTATCTGTATCTGTATCTGTAAATGTATCT